GAGCGGGATTTCCCGAAGTAGAAATTGGCAAGATAATCAAGACCAAAAGTACTAGCACCACTTGAAGGGAAGTTGTCTTCATTCTCTATCAAAAATAAAAAGGGCAACACAGTGAGGAAAGATGTTTTTTCTTGTTCTCGAGTCCGTTACAGAAAAAGGTAAGACTGTGTATCAAACTTGCAATAGTTCACTTTTTAAGTGAGCGTTGTGCAACCAAAGTCAAAATAAACATGTGCGTCTACCTACATTTAACATGGTCGAAGAGAAATGTTTCCTTTGATAAGCTAGGCTCTCTTTCTCGTGATCAGAGTGAATTCTTCTTGTCGTTTGAAACGTCTGCAAACTGCTAGCTGTATCATAGCTGCGTTCTTTTATAGCGACTCCTTGGCATAGAGCTCACGTACATTATCTATACTTTCAGTTGAACCGGGAATGCAGTCCACCATAGCATGACTGAAACAGCCAGGGAGATAATTACAATTCTCAGCATGAGGTCTTTTGACTTAAAAAAATTAATTGCAAAATAGGACGTATGCAATTCTGAAAGCTTGCCTTGTTTACTTACCTTTGACAGGCTCGCACGTATTTATTTCCATGATACGGCTTTTTTCTTTTCTTTACTCAAGTATGAAGTCTTCCTCTCACCTAGACGTCCACAAACTGTTTTTCAAATTCAATTATTTAGGCAGCAATCTTTACTAGCTTCGAGTTCTTGTATATTATCATATCAATAGTTTCAGCAGAACGGGATTGTTACTTTGCTCATGGCGCTCAAACAATCATGCACTGCAGGAGACCGTTCTGCATGGAGTAATCATCTTCCTCACTTGGCACTTGAAAAGGTGTCTTAAATCATGAAACTATTTTCTACCATTCTAAATATAAACCACAAGTTCCTGAAACTTTTAAAGTGCTCCCTCGTCTAACTGCACAATCGGCTCAAGTATCAAGAAATCCCTCTTAACGAACATTTTGTCTCGTCCTAGCTGCTTGAAGAAACTTTCTGCAAAGCTTCAGTGCCCAACTTCCGAGAGGAAATAGGTGCTCGTAGGTATTAAGAGTTCTGTGTTAAGTGTATCTAATTTGGTGTTTTGAGGCTTCGTACTGAAGGCCAAAAGCCTTATCGTTGAATAGCGCAGTACGCCTTCTTATGATAACATGAAGTTTAAAACTGGTTCCTCTTCTATTTTTGAATTAAGTAGCTTCCCTAACTTATTCAAACAGTGGACTTATAATTTAACTGAAGGTGCTTCAGGGTAAAGTATCTTATTTCAGGATGCAGAAGGTCGATTGGAAACCTTAAGGAAAGTTACGATCAATCTTTACTGATTTTGTCACAAATGACGGAGGAATCCTAGGCGGAAACATTCGTGTTACCCGAGAGCAAACACAAGGAAGTAATAACGAGCAGCTCGCACAAATGAACACGTACACTGTGAAACTACAAAGGTGGAAGGAGCAAACAAGGAAAAGGAAGTAGGAGACATTCTTAATTGGCTATACATTATATTGTCAACCAAGTTTATGAAACTAATTTATCTGGCTTTATATGAGTTCTGAATTCCTGTGTTGCTTCTATAACTGTAATCATGCAGTGAATCAATTTTCGCCGAGGTATCATGCACGCGTTATCTGAGGTCACCAAATAAGCCAATGCTAACAGGCTACCACTTAACATAGACGAGACGAAAACGTTGATTGTTACTGCGATACGTCTCAACTCGAAGAGACGTGTTATTTTACAGCATGAATTCACATAATTATGTCCTAAATACCAAATTGCTTGGTTTAGAACTTGATAGCGAACCGTCTTTCTCTTCTCGTGTTTAAAATTGCTGTAAAACTTTCTCAACGCGTTGGCATATTAGAAAAATTAGAGTATACCTTCCGATGAAGCAACAACGTTCGTATTATTAGAGCACGATAAAATCTGTACTGAATTATGTAACCGTTGTTTGGACCAATTGTGAATATGACCTTTTAGCTAGAGTGCTGAAATTACGGAAACATATAGCTAGACTTATTATGGACGCTGATTCTAAGGCCTCTTCTGTCAGATTATTTCATGATTCAAGTTGGTTACCTTTTTACGAGGAGGCTACAAACTCCTAATGTCTACTTGCATTTAGGAGACTACGGGGAGAATCGCTTGCGTATATTACTCACCTTTTAACAGGTGATAGTGATCTCCGCTCTCGTAACACTAGGTATGCAAACTATAACTTAGTATGCTCAAAGTTTAAACGTAAATCAGATGGCGGTAAAACTTTCAATGTTATCACTCGTCAACTATGGAACAGTTTACCTATCACCTTACGACAAAAGACATCAGCATAAAATTTTAAAAAGGCCTTAAGGCAATTTTTCTCGGAAACCAACAGAGTTTGAACCATCTTGTAGTTTATTAGGTTCCTTTTTATTGTTAGCCCACAGAGCAGGCGTAATTTTGGCGAACGAATGCTCAAATATTTCTTAACGAAAATTATGGCCGCCATCTTTGATTTTAATGGCAGCGGAAGGCTGGGAAGAGAAATCAATTTGTACCTAAGGGGGTGGCCGACGGTCAAAACTAAGGAGAAGAATGGGGGTAGGGTAGTGAAGATTTTTTCGCCCTTCCCCCGCCCCCTACCCTCACCGTCCACTTTAACTCCAAATCAAACATGGCCGGTCGGATAAACGATCGCGAGCTTATAACGTTAGCTTGCATTAATTAGACGCGTGCACTGCAGGCTATTTTACAGTTTCCTGACTCTGTCATTTAGTCCTGAGATCTACTTTATTATAGATTTTATCATAAGATTTTTATTTTGTTTAACTGTTCTTCTATTTCTATAATAATGTATTTATTTTTAGTAATTGATATCTATGTTTGTGTTAGTACTATCATATGTATTGCATTAAGGCCGCATGTTTAATTGCCTTTTGGCTATTAAGTGCTACCCTCTTTAAATAAAGAGTTTATCTACTTACTTACCTACTTATTTCAGTTTTTGCGAAGTATCAGCTTTTCAAAATTCACTGCGGTGGTTAACCTGCATTTCTGAGCTTTCGTAATGAGTTAACTTCCTCGCTTACATCGTGCAACAATTTCCGGCTTAAAGGCCTATTTCCAACCTTGATGCAACGTAGTCGTTTGTTTTTGTTTTGAACCACCGCTTTTGTTTAAATAGCGCCTCTGATTGGTCGGTTATTTTTACCTAGTCACGTTGTCTCAAAATAGCTTCTGCGTTTTCTCCGATGAGTTTGGTGAGCTTGTCAAAATAACTCTGTTTAAAACAATACTATACGTTTTAATCCGGTATGGAATCAGATGGATCCATTAATTTAGTAGATTCCGAGGCACTAAACGCTCACGGGTCTGTTGTTGTTGAAGAGGAACGCGAAAATCCTTGCGAGCATTCCGAGGAAGGTGAAAATGTTGATCCACCACGTTTTTTATTCATACATCAATTTTTTTTTATTGAAGTTTGCCATCCTTGTTAAATAGGACCGAGGGTCAGTTGAAGTTTCCTGCCCGTAGAGTGGAGCTTGCGCTCGAAAGGGTGGTCAAGGTCGTTGTCCATGCAAAGCAGCAAATAATAATTGTAACGCAAGCTGTCAGTGTCGCTGACATTCCTTCAGTGAAGTGACTAAACGTCCGGCAGCCGGACACGGTCTTAAAATAACTAAACGTCCGGCAGTCCGATATTTTTCTGTATTTCTCTTCGAAATCCAAAAAATACTTATACGAAAATATTCTGCCTTTATTTACAATCCTCAAGCGCTTCCAGGCAGCCAAAAAGTTTGAACTTGATATTTTTCGCTAACCCTGTAGCCAAGCGCGTGACACTTAGAAACTTTTCACTGACACTGACATATTTTATCTTTATTTAGAATCCTCAAGCGCTTCTACAAAGTGAAAAAATTCGAACGTTGTCCTTTCCGCCGACCATACACATAGAGTACGTAGAGATCCAAGCGTGACACTTGAAAAATATTTTCTTCGGATTCTACCCGACAAAATTCACAATACTGTAAGAAAACTTTAAAATGACGAACGGCGAATATATTTACCGTAAAACAATTGATTGTATGTCCAGGATGGCTCTTGAGAAAGACGATTTTAGAAGGTTTTCAGTAACCCGAAAAGAATTTCGCGTTACAGGAAGTTGGGTCGCAACGCGCGCTGCATCAAGGGTGAAAATGGGCCTTTAAAAAATAATTTATTTTAGTATGCGGATTTATATGCCACTGTTCGTGTGCCTTATTATATCCGATGAATTTCAGATCAATGGTCTAGAGCGCTTTTCGATTGAGTGTCGCAAAGCCATAGCAAAAAACCAAAGGGAAATTCTAAAGAGCCAATGAGAGGTCAAAGGGAAACAAGCAAACTGCATTTAAGGCGGGAAAACGCGGGTGACCAAGGGATGATTGGTTTCAGTTTTGTATTCTGATTGGTTGAGAGTTGACCAATCACTGACCGAAATAAAGTAACTATCGCTCTGACGAAGGGCTAACGCTCGAAACGTCAGCTTTTTTACCCTTTACGGTGGCTAATTTACGTTTTCAACCCAGTTGTTAACACTAAATTACCTGCTATACTCTCCCACCGACGCAGCACCACAGTTTCTTTAGAAACTTACCCCTTTATTCGAAATAAAGTAAACCGACCTGGAGGTTTCATTATTTACGAAAATAATGAAGATACTTTTCTTGGCCAAATTCTTGGCTCAGAGTGGATGTCAAAAATGAGCCATTCTTCAGGAAGAAGAATATCAAAAGAATATACCAAAGAAGAAGAAGAAGAGAACTGTCTGAGAATTTAAGAACCTGTCTAAAATCGATCACAAGCGTCTAGAATCGGACACTACTGCCCAAAATCGGAGACTTGCCGGGTAGACAGAAGAAGCCCTCTGGAACGGAGGTTAGGGGGTATAATTAACATCTTTGGGATATCACATAGTAAGGTGCGGGCCATCCAAAGGTGGACAGACTACGGTGGAAAGAAGATGGAAAAACAATGAAGAAACTAGATATTTTTAATCAATTGAGGCCAGATATTTGAAATAATAGCATCGCTTGTTTTGTTCTGTATCTCTAGAAAGCTAAATTGGCCAAATATTTAAAGATGCCTCTACAAAACTTCTGAGCCTATGTTTTCCACCGTTCCTGTGGTTGGTTCATCAATATCATTACAAACGTAACTGCAACATTCGACAATATTTCTAGTGTCGTGATCATTCCAGCAGCCGCCGTATGAGAACCAAAATGGCAACGAACGCCGGCGTCTCCAAAAGTCGTGGCATCTGGAAATCTCGAAACACATGAGGGTTTGGTCGCATTCTTTTTTGGGCTCGGAACATACTTGTAGGGCGCTATTCAAGTCCAATCCTCCTGGGCACAGTTTCGTATCATTCAGACCACTCTTAGACTGACGTCTCACCCTATTTGGCGATGTTCCGCCTGAGGAAAAAAAGCATACGACCAGGATCAGGATCTGATCAACTGCCCGTCTACCCCTTCCCTAACCCAGTAACAGTCAACTGACAGCGTGATAGGGTTAATTTGGGTTTTGGGGAGGGGTAGGTAAGCATAAAGATGCTGTGATCTGTCAGGTTGACCCATCACTGTCTATGCAGTAATATTTACAGTTGACTATCGTTAAAAGGGGTTCGACAAATGCCTTAAATTATTGCGTAAAAATTTCTAACAGGCCTGATTGATATTTTTCTTTATTCTCATTACTGGTTTGCTTGATAATGTTTTTTGATTTTGTAAAGAGAAATTCCGTCTTGATCACTTATGGGAGATTAAAGGTTTAAGACTCATTGATGTCTCACTTTCAGTTTGTTCTTCGGTATCGTGTTCCCGTTCCTCAGTCACGTGGTATATCGTGTACTGAGCGCAAAAGTCGTTCAGCTCTTCACCAAGCCATGACCGATCAGTAACTTCTCCATCCAAAACCCACCTGCTGTACACGCGTCTTGTCTCTGTAATATTCATCTGATCGAATACATAGACAACGATTCACTTAGACGTAAATTGATAAATATTACACTACAAAACAGTACATTTCATTTTCTGTTTCAAGTCAATGCGCAGAATGCATGGATTCTCGGCTGGTCTTCATTTCTGGTGAAGACGGAGCTAAATCATCTTGCCTCAGAAGATGCATGTTATTCACCTTCCAAAATTGACGCGTATTTCTGAGCCCACGGACTAAGGAACCAGTCATTATTTATAGACTGGGTGTGTGTGTGTGTTGGGGGGGGGGGATCTATGGGGGGATCAAACGATTTTCAGTGGAAACAGAGGAGGGCCAGTCGTCTCATACAGAGTTTAAAGGGGGGGGGGACGGTAGAATATTGACTGCCAATGAAGGATGTTCGTTAGAATACTACAGAACCTCAGGGGGGGATCGGGTAGACTTAATTTTGACACGACCAAAATCCTCCGAACCCCCTTCCCCCTTCGGCGATAAATAATCAGTGGGCCCTTATCTTATGTCACCCTAATCTCATGTCACAAGTGAAAAGGCATTCGAGGAGCAAAATTAACCTAAGCTTACCCCTATAAATTTTTTATATTTCCTACCCTCTGAAAACCGTGTGATACCCCCAAAATTCTACAGCCCATACTCCTTTAAATTTAAACACTTCCCTTTTTAAGTGTCAAGAGGAATATTTAACACTCGTATTATATTTTGATTTCTGAGGAAATAATGTTATCTACGCGTCAGCAAGTTTTGAATGAGGAGTTTAAGAACAAGGGAGAAATATTTGAAAGAGAAGAGTTCTCGCGCTTACAACTCAGATCTTCAAGGCCTATTTTTGCTCCCAAGTGATCAGCGCAATCTTGTTTCGCTGATAAGTATTTACCTATCCATCAGTTGGAGGATATCATGTTTTTACACACCTTCTGAGCCCTCTTATGGTCTCTTATCAGCTTCTCTGGCCTCGATTGACGTTTTACGAGAGGAAACAGGTAACAGATCTTGCTTTTCGGGAAGCGCAGCATGGTCAAATTCTGCGGAGACAAACAAGAAGAGGTCACTGTGAAAAAAATGTGAAAGAATTAAGAATGACGAATTAATGATTGCTGGTTTGCTGGAAAACTCAATAGAGGAATGAGAGACAAGTTTGGAAAACAACAAAGTGCTAGGGATGAAACGAGAAAATATTATGATTACTAGAAGTATAAGACAAAATTAATTGTTACGAAGTATAATACTTCTCTGAAAGAACCGAGTGCGTGGGAGGCTGGAAAAAGGCGAGACTTTAGTAAATTGATGTCTAACTGCGTCACCATTGGAATTATGTTAAGTATGAGTTCCTTTATATTGTTTGCGCTGTAATTGTGCCAATGGATACTCTATCAAATCTTTACTTTTCTGATAAGGTAAAGGGTTTTACATTGATAAATAGGCAGGATAACTTACGTTTTTGAAATCGTGCAACACATCGCTGCGATCCACACCAGGATGAGTAGGAACTTGAAACAATTCTGTTTGTTTTTCAAGATCCACCTCGATTTTCTCAGTGTAGCCAATTCCACCCTCGATGATGTCGAGATTAAAATCCACGACCTTGTTGGATCAAAATTACACTTTAGTCTGTGACAGTTGTGAAATCTTTTGAATGATTGGGGGACAACACGAGCCGGACGGCTGAGAATTTAATTAAGCGTGCAACAGGAAAGTTTGATCGATAACGTACTTGTTTCTTCATTCGTCGCTCAATATTAGTAGGGCTAGCAGATGACAAACCTAGGACAACAAATACGATCAGGAATGAAAACAGATACGCCATCACTGGAACAGAAGATGCAGAAGTTCCTGTTAGGAGAAAAATGCGGGATTTGATGATAAGACTCACACAGACCTAGAAAGCAATTAAAGTAGCAACTGTGCACTTTTTGATTCCAACATTTTCACCCGTGCGAGTAATCGTAGATTAAATTCTCCGTAAAGTTTTATACACTACTGAGACAGACAGACAATGAGAAAAGAGAATTTTCATCAACTTAAAACTCGTTTCGATGGAACAAGGACTGACCAACAATGTGAAGTAAATTGCTTTTATATCTGAGGAGGTTTCGTTTAAAAATTTTTGAGTTAATTGAGAGGAACCAAGTTTACACAAGAGCTCCTACGAATGGCTAAACGAAAGGTTAAAAAAAGTCACCATTCTTGAGTCGCTCAACTACAAACACATTCGAAGGAGCTTAAAAAGCAGATCAAAGAGCAGAGAATTTTACATTGTTGCAAACTGATCGATTGAAATGTGGCAATTTGAATGAGTTTTGGAACGATTTATCGCAACGAATCAATTTAGTTCCAAAATTAAGGGGAGAAATAGCATTCTGAGGCTTAAATTATTTCGAACATTTTCCCCTGCGAATGAAGTTTGAATTTCATTTATGAATTCAAATTTGCGAATGAATTGCAAACTACAATAGAACTTACCGCCAAAATGCGCCCGACTGAATTTTGATCACTCGACAAACAGGATGGTTGGAAAGCGGAGAACAGCAACGGCACTTTTTATGGCACCGCTAGATGGTTTATCCGCCTGCGTCTGCAGTTTGTGTAATGAAATAACATGCAACGGATATCCTCTGAAAGAAGGCGCCACATGTCTGTGCTACCACGTTATTGTTCAAATAAAACGAGGGCAGATGGAACTGAAGGAGTGTCAGTTAAATGCATTTAATACCAAAACCACTAGACGTTATCCTCCTACAGTTATGCACATTTTCTGTGATGGAAGAGACAAAATCTTTTGCATAATTGGGGCGCTTAGGTTTATGACGATTTTCCTGTTGACTGCAATGAAGTCAGCCCATGTGTTTCCTGGTAATCTCCCTGAATTTGTTTTTTTTTTGCTCTGGTTGTTGTTTTCGTTGCCAACTCTGATTCACCTTGAGTGACCTTCTAAACAAAACCAGGTTTCATGATCTTATTAATTTCAAGAAGTGATATATGTCCACTTGGCAGCTGAATCACGTACGCTGACTGGGAAAGGTTACAGGAAGTCACAATATGTATGCTTTTATGTGGACTTTTGTGTTCCTGCAGAACTTTTCTTTTCCGTTTTCTTCCTGTTAACTCGACGTTAAAGTCATTTCTTAAAATTCTCAGCGCGAGTTCAAATCGTCTAGGATCCCTTTGTGCTTCATGGTAGGATGGAGCCATCGTGTCTGCGGCACTCGAATTTTTTCATTTTTTTTTTCTTTTTTTCGATATCAAATCAATAAAAGGTTGTCTTTGTGCCAAGCTTTGCCAACGTAGGCCATAGTCACGCTAACAGGAGTCATTTTATAATCCATTTTGAAAGGATTCAACCATAAACTTTGCGATCTTACTTATATACTGGGTGTAGACCATCTTCGTACACTAAATAATCGGGAAGAACTAAACAAAAGGTCTATCAGCAAACTCATGCCAAGAAGTCTTAGGTAAAATAATGATTTAACCAATTACAATCCAATTTGAGGTCTTCAAAAATGATTCTCTAGCCGGCTTTGATTTGCAAAGCGAGATTGACGTGAATACTCGGCACAGTTCTAAAAACTGGTCTAAATGATAATACACTGATCTAATTTTAATCAGTGGTGTCCGATTTTATACATTAGACATTCAGTGGTGTCCGATTTTTTAGACATTAGACATTACGATAGGATTCAATACACTAATGACCGATTTTTATACACGAATGTCTGATTTTAGACACTGTAGTCCGATATTAGACACAATTGTCTGAATTGGACCCGAGTGTCTGTTTTTAAACACAAGTGACTAATTTTGAATGTTAGTGTCGGTATTCGGACAGTACTGCATGTCCAATTTTAAACTCAAATGTCTGATTTTGAACGTTAAGTCCAAAATTGGACACTATTGTCAAAAATCGGACATTTGTGTCCAAAATCAGACACTTGTGTCTTAAAACGGACACTACTGTCCAAAATCGGACACACGTATCCAAAATCAGACTCTTGTGTCCAAATCAGACTCTTCTGTTTAAAATCAGACACTATGGTCCAAAATCGGACAGTATTGCCTTGCCAAACAATGACTCTATCTCAGATGTCAAACATCCTTTGCCAACGTATAGGAAGCTGTTGATATAACTTCCAGTTGCCAAAAGCCTTGGGCCATGAGACTTACCACTTCAACCATTTATCAGAAGGTTTTTTTAAACTCCTACCACTAAAAATCTCGCCTCGCAAATCACCCCCTAAAAATCAAAGCTGAAGAATTATTTATGATAAAGATATCAAATTCTATCATAATTTATAAAATCATCCTCTACCCTGAGAAAAATTTGCGAGACCTTTTATTTCTTCTCGGTTATTTGGTATACGAAGTTGTTAAACACTGTTTTTAGTTAACTCGATTAACTCGGAAGAGACTCTTCAATTTCGTTTTCCGTCTTAATTCGTCAGAGTATACTTAAATAACTTGTTAACATCCTTCAGATTATATCATGAGACGAGATAAAGTCTACTTATCAGGGGATGGAATTACCACTGGGAGGGGCAAGGGCGCTGGGATCTCTCTTTAATTAACCGGCTGTGTTGAAAATGCAGCGCATGCTGCTGTAAAGAAAGAGTATGAAGTACTCCTGTTTGGGTATACAGTAGAACAGTAAACGTTTACGTCTAAGGAGAGAAGTAGAACCGATCTAGGTGTTTTTTTTTAACGGTTTATAAAATTACCCCTTTATGACGTGAGTTGTGACCTCTTGGCACATTGACAACTTTTTTTAAAGTACATATATATATATATATATAAATGTGAAAATAGAAACTTGACGACAAGAAGATTTTTGTTCGACTTCTGCAGACACAATGGAACCATATCATATTCAGGGGATACCAGAGAATTTGAGCTCGCACTAAGAAATCTGTTTCTAGTTAATGACTTAACTTAGAGTTAACCAGTAGTTATACTTTAAAAAGGAACGGAAAAGAAAGGTTTTGCTGTGATACGCAACTCCACATGTTTTTATATTGTGACCTCCCGCGACCTTCAGACAACGTACATGATTCAGTTGCCAAGAGAGCATAATTCACATGTTACGCCCTGAAATTAAGAAGATAATGGCATATGGTTTTTTTTTAGAAGGTCCCTTGATGTGAACCAAAATTTTCTGAGAAAACAGCAACAAATACAGGAAGCAGACTACTGGGAGACGCATGCGATTGAACAGTATAATGATGTCATAGGCCTGAGCTTTTCAAATAATTGAAAAGATGCGTTCCTCTCCATCACATGAAACGTGCTTAAATTTAAAGGGATGAAACTTAGTAACTACTGTATTCATTACATTTAAATCACAATCGCTTAATATTCTGACCTCGTTGTAACTGAACAACAACAGGATGTCACAGATCTAGACATGCGTTTTTCATCATGGCTCCTCCTTTCTTAAGATATCAGTTTTGTTTTTTCATTTTTTTTTTTAACCGCAAACGGAAGCGGTAAACCATGTGACGGATCTACAAAAAGCTTTGCAGTATAAACTGAACTTCACTCTTCAACCATCCTGTTCGTCGAGCGAACAAAAGTTTCGATGTTGAGAGGTAAGTTTTCATTTTCACTGATATGTTGTGCAACTCATCTGCAAATTTGAATTCGTATTTGAAGTTAAGTTTCATGCGATATCACGGAGAGAAATTTTTCAATGTTTTATATAATTTTAGCCTCAGAATGTTATTATCCTCCCAATTTGGAAACTCAATTGATTCTCAGCTCTTTCATCTGCTTTTTATGTTCCTTTAAAAGTGTTTGAAGTCGACCAGCTCAAAAATCGTCACTTTTTCAAACAAACTTGGCAAGCTCTGAGTAAGAACTCTTGAGATATAAATGGTTTACTCTTTTTCTTAAAAGATTTTTCACCAAAACTTCCCAAATGTTTCTTAAGCCTTATCGAGTCTTATTCATTGACTGAATGGCGCATTTTCTCCTGACAGGATTATAGTCTGCATCTTTTGTTCAGATATTGCGTGTTTATTTGACCTCTGACCAAATGCCGCTTTCTTTCTCCTAACAGGAACTTCTGCATCTCCTGTTCAAATATGGCGTGTTTATTTTCTTTCCTGATCGTACTCGTTATCCTAAGTTTATCATCTGCTAGCCCTACTAATGATGGACGACGGATGAAGAAACAAGTACGTTTTTGAGATGAGTTAATTGTTAAACCTTTAACCGAATTCTTAGCTGTCAACTCTGTCGTTTCACCCAGTAATTTCAAAGACTTGCAAGACTGAATTGCTATTTTAATCCAAAAAGGTCGTGGATTTTGATATCGACATCAGCGAGGGTGGAACTGGCTACACTGAAAAGATCGAGGTGGACCTTGAAAAACAAACGGAATTGTTTCAAGTACCTACTCATCCTGGTGTGGATCGCAGTGATGTGCTACATGATTTCAAAAACGTAAGTAATCCCACTTACGTATTGATATCTAATCTTCACTTTATCACATAAAAAGGGGGAGATTTTTTAAAGAAGTCATTTGCAGATTCATAGCGCAAATGATCGACGCAGAAAGGAAGTCATAGTTGGCACAAGTAAAATAGCGAAGTCGCAGTTAGAAATAAAATTACTGTAGCATGACGCTTTGTTCGAACATGGCACATGTGGTCTCTCACAGATTGATGGAGGTTGAGCGATTGAGTCGAAATAACTTCAAGAAAATACAATTACGTGAAAGTCACATTCTTCCACAATATTACGTTTTTGTCTCATATTTCCATCAATCATGACATTTTCCTGTTTCAGCCCTAACACGTATGTTGTTTTCCAAACCTGAATCACACTCCTCCACCATTTTCCAACCATCAATCCTCTTCCTTATTTCTTTCACTCATTTTTCTGTGGTTATCATTTCTGTTTATTCTGTTAGGATTTGACAATGTTACGCTTTCCGGAAAGCAAGATCTGTTACCTGTTTCCTCTCGTAAAACGGCAGTCGAGGCCAGAGAAGCTAATGAGAGATCATATGACGGCCCAGAAGGTGAGAAAGAACACGTCATTTTCCAAATAGGAAAAAAACTTATCAAGAATTTCCCTCATCACTTAGGCGCAAAAATTGGCCCTGAAGATCTCAGAATTAAGCGCTCGATCCCTTTTCTTTCCAAGATTTCTCCCTTGTCCCTTAAAAGACGACTGATCCTCACTCCGTTCCCTCTTCCCCTCACACTCTCCCCTAAGTGATAAATAAGGACTGGTTCCTTAGCCCGCGGGCTCAGAAATAAGCGACATTTTTTGGAAGGTGAATAACAGGTAACATGCATCTTATGAGACAAGACAATGTAGCTCCGTCTACATCAGAGACACAGGCTGGCCGAGAATCCATGCATTCTGCGCATTGATTTGAAATAGAAAATGAAATATACGGTTTCGTAGTAAAATATTTATCAATTTACGTCTAAGTGAATCGTTGTCAATTTATTCAATCAGATGAATATTACAGAGACAAGACGCGTGTACAGCAGGTGGGTTTTGGATGGAGAAGTTACTGATCGATCATGGCTTGGTGAAGAGGTGAACGACTTTTGCGCTCAGTACACGATATACCACGTGACTGAAGAACGGGAACACGATACCGAAGAACAAACTGAAAGTGAGACATCAATGAGTCTTAAACCTTTAATCTCCCATAAGTGATCAAGACGGAATTTCTCTTTACAAAATCAAAAACAATATCAAGTAGACAAGTAATGAGAATCAAGAAAAATATCAATCAGGGAATTATTAGTTGATCCAATATCAAATTCTCCAAACTAACATCAAAAGAATTTTATGGTACACAGGAAAGAGAATTACCCATGAGATCTTGGGGTTTAAAGGTTTATAATATTCCCAGAAATAAGTCAGTCCTGGTTCCCTAATTCTAAAGCGCACAAGAATGTTTTTTTTTTTTCAAAGAAACCTTAATTAAAGGCTTGAAAAGTGCTAAAACTGATTTTCAAGTTACTCCAACAAGTCAATAAAAAAAACCAAACAAACAAAAACATAAACAAAACAATGTTATGTCTCACCATTTTGAATATCTTCGACAATCAATTGAAAATTGAAAAGGTAATTTCGCATAAATAATGATGGGTTAACTTGACAGATTATATCTTCTATGTCAAATACGTATTTTTTTTTTCTTCTTCTCCTTCAGGCGGAACATCGCCAGATAGGGTAAAACGTCAGTCTGTGAGTGCTTTGAATGATACAAAACTGTGCCGCGGGGGAATGGACCTGAATACCTCCCTTCAAGTATGTTCCAAGTCCAAAATGAAATGCAGAGAAACCTTAATGTGTTTCCAGATTGAGAAATGTCGCGAGGCGAAGAAACGCGAACGGCGTTCGTGGGCGGGATTCTTCGGTTTTCTTGGTCATTACGGTCGTTACGGTCGTTACGGTCATCATCGCTTGCAACGGTACTATCCGCCTTATGCTCCACCCGCACAAAGAAAAAAACAGAAAAAAGTCGAACGTCCACGCTGTTGGAATGTACACGACACCAGACGAATTAAATGTTGCGAATACATTTGTGAGAAGATTGACAGACCAACAACACCAACCGTAGAAACAGAGGAAAACACAGAATCACTCTTAGAAGTGTTGTTGGGCCGTCTTTGAATATTTGGCCAGTAGCTATGTATTGAAAGGTTTACGAAAATCATGATGCCTTGAAAGTCTTAAAATTGGTTATTTTACCGAGATGGCATTTAGCCTTCAAACAAACTTGATAGTCATTTTTTTTTCCCTAAAGATACAGTGAAAACCAGGTAATCGGATAATTTTGAACACCTAGCTATAAATAATCAGAAAAGCTTAGTTTCTTTGCTTTTCCTGTTTAGTTTCTTTGCTTCCTGACTTCTCGAGGTGACTTCGCTTGTAACTGAATTCATCCCTACGAGATAAAGAAAATATCAATCACTCGCGTGATATTTTCTCTCCGAGTATAAAACTTAGTATCTAGAATTTTATAGTGGAGAGAAAGAGCTTTTATGCTTTTGTTTCCTACTGTGTTCAAATTTAATTACAGTTTGCTGGTCGCCTGTTGTTTTAATAAAAGGTTTTTTCAAACGATAAATGACGATTTTCTCCCATGACCGTTACCAAAGTGAACATTCTCCTGACCCCCACCGCCAGCGTTCTTGACTACTGACTTATGACATGATGATTGTCGTGATTCTTTTGAAGTCTCTGCAGCTGTTCCTTGGCATATCATGCCAACCCAAGCTCAAACTTTTTTTTTTTTTTTTGCGGGGGTGGAGTGGAAGGGCTGCGCAACAACCCGCAGAGGGCAGATGAGGAGAGTCGTTCTCGCACTCTACAAAGGCCTTAAATCTATTTTGTTGCGCCAATTGATAGAGAAGCATACAATTTAGATATTTCCATCAACAAAACTCCGTGTATCCTTTTAAACTTGCAAACAAATAATTTTGTCAGTGTACAGCCTTCGCCTACACTCATCCCAGATATTTTCGGCAACGGTTTTCAAAGTATGTAAGCTTCTAACCGCTCACCTACGGTGGAATCGTGATTTAGTTCAAGAGCCTTGCCTGTTAGCTTGATCCCGAAGACGTCCGTCTAGACAGATTTTGCAAACTTGATTATCAAGTTCAACATTTTGTTCTAATCTCACTGTGATATCAATATTGCTGATAAACACTCTAAGCCATTGCCTGCGAACGCAGACGTTTTTCCGGTCATGTTGTTTCTCTTCACCAGAAAAGTAATGTCTGCCAACTCGAGCGGCAAAACGATTTCTGCGTCGTAACTTTCTACTCGGAACTAACTTGTGAGGTTCGTGCGTTTGCACACGTTTTCATCCTGCTGAAACATCGTTCAGATGCCAGTTTTTTTATTGCAAGGTCAGCGACTTGCTGTGGAAATGATTTAAGACTCCTCTGGTTTTCAGCCCGATAAGCTGCACGGAACAGGAAGACGCCTTAAATGTCTCAGTTTTTACGACTTCCGGAATATTTTGAAATTCCGAAGGAAAAACAACGTGCAAAACGGCGAAATGTCCTGCTAGAGGTTCTCATTTAAAAACGAGAGAGTTATTTTGATGTATTTTCAATGTATGTCGTTAGAGTGAGCGCGTACGCTGACCTTGATTTCATAGTATGTTTAGTTTGTCTTGCAATAATTTGGCCGGATGTCGACCACGTATTGACCTTTACTCGATCGTTTTCTTAACAATCGAAATCACAATAACCGCTTCATTTTACGTGTTCCGGGAAATTCGAGAAAGCACGTTATGTAAATACCCATCTGATGATCGTTTATACTTTATGTGAGCATAATCCCGGTTCATTTTCCTGTTTTTAACGTTGCTTTCGTTCCCAGGAAGGTGGTATCGTTTCGGATAGTCCACATCAGACTTTCTCATCTGGTAACTATTATGCGATTTTCTTTTTTTTATCAAACCCATCTCAGTCATATTTTCAACACTCGTCAATGTAATTTAGACAAATCAAACTTTCTAATGTGTTTAACATTTCATTTGCTTGCTATTCGCTGAGATTTGTTCACACTTTCTTATGTTGATTGAGAAATTGTTTACCATCGATAACAGTGTTAGACTCCATTAATTAAAGAAAATGCACAAAGCTTATTAAGGTTTGGATAAAAACTACTTAAACATTTGATGAGCCGCAAATCGGATCAGAATGTCTAAAAAAATGAGGAAAAAAAGAACAATGATTTCCATCTCAATGAACAACAGGAAACTCCTCCTCTGTCTTATCGATTTGAAAGAATTAATACTAAGGTTATCATGTTAACTTCTCTGGTATAAATACAGCTTGTACTTATACGTAGCAAAGAGCCGAGCAGGATTCCGGAGTAGTCTTTCTTCTAACGAAGGTAAATTAAGTGTTATTGTTTATATGGTATCTATACAGTTCATCTTGCTAAATTTGGGGAAAGGTAAGTTTTTAACTATTGTATCTGAGTGACAAAATTTGCCTTCCTTTTCGTCACGGAATAAACTTAATTGCAAATTTCCTTGCTTGAATTCGCTTGGCTTATCAATCTATTCATTTATTTTTTGCTCATTCTGGCCGCTTTTTGAGGTAAGGACTAACATTAAACAACATGATGATTTAAATCTCATCAGCTAATCTATTTGTTAAAGTGGAGGTATGCTGGAGCCCAAGGAAATAAAACGAGAGCTTAGACTCCTTTCCATTGCATTCTGAGTGCTGTTATTTAAAATGATGTTAGTAACACCAAATAACGGCTCTCAACAAGTTCAATTTCAAATAGCTGAAATGGGACCTGAACAAGGTTTTAGTCTCGAGGAATTTCTTAGCCTGTATTCCTGACCAACATCTCTTATCTTAGAAATCCTTCACGAAAGAAATCCATCTGGCTTGTGGGAAGAGCGTTAGAAAGAAGATATTCTTTTCACAGAAGTCAGACTTCTTACACTAAACTTTTTTCCCACGGCTCAAAATTTTGACCTTCTGGTACATGCTGTGATTTCTAGCACGAAAACAAAAATTGGTTTACGAAGTTTTATTTTTCCTTGTCTTGAAGTGGAAGTTCCGTTTACATTTCACCACCAATCTCCGTATTCATATATTAAAGTAAACAAATGCTCTTTTATAGTCAGTCTTAAGTTAGTGATCGTCTTTCCTTGACTCAATCAATTGTATCACGCTTCGCTCAGGCTTAAAATCTCCTCTCAATCTCCTGTCTTGTACCGCTTTTTCACTCGTCAGGGAATTCTTCCGCCCGCCCCTCACTCTGAGAAAATGGCAATGTTCGGTTTCCTCATCTTGGCTTTGCTGATGAGCGCGACCTTCGGTAACCCTGTTCGCAAAAGCTACGGGAATTTTTACTTCTCTCGTAAACAGGTAAGTTTTAAAAGCGTATATCTCTCCATCTTGCTTGCTTTCAAAGCGTTTTTCGAAAAATATTCCGACTTAGCTCTATAATAATCCATTACTGTTTGCTATCAACTGATTTACTTCTCAAGGTCGTCGAATTTACGGTTGATGTCATCGAGGCTGGAAAAGAATACAAAGAGAGGATCGAAGTGGACGAAAAGAAGCAAACAGAAATGTTTCAAGTTCCTGCTCATCCTGGTGTGGATCGCAGTGATGTGTTACACGATTTCAAACATGTAAGTTATCTCTCATAATTTTTAATAATTTCCTCACCTTTCTGTTATATGTTTACAATTGATTAATGCCAAGTGAATATCAACAGTTGTTTGTGCGTAGGATCAGAACTCAAACTCGAAGTGTTTAGGGACCAGTCAGGCGTTATTTACCACCTCACGGGGAGGGCTTTTAAAGGATTTCTTTTAGGGGGGGAAGGGATCACATGATTTTTAGGGGGAAAGGAGTAGGGATCGGTCGTTTCTGACAGAGTTTTAAGTCAAGACTATAGACTATACCAAATAGACTGCGGGATCAGGTAAATTTGAAATCCCCCACCCCCATCAAAAAATAATAAACGGCCCTAAGTTATCTCTCATAATTGTGAATAATTTCGTTACCTATCTGTCATATTTTGCAATTCACTTTTACGTAAGATCAGAACTCAAACTCGGGCGGGCCTGGGTCATGGCTTCCAAAATCGATGGAGCAGTAGTCACAAAACACCTACAAGAATATTCGGTGACTTCTAACACAATAGAGTATTCTTTGCGCAATAGTCACGAGTATATCAGCGTAGATATTATTTTATACTCCTCTACACTCACAACAAGGGAAGGAAACATAAAAAAGGCGCGCTAAGAAGGAAGGGAATCCAATTCATCCTCGTCACCAGTCCCTCCGCAGAATGTAACCCATACAGACCGACGATGAATTTAACTTTCACAATTTGTAAATATTTTCAGAGTTTAACCCTGCTACGATTCCCGGAAACCAAGATTTGTTACCTGCTTCCTCTCGTTAAACAGCAGTCGCGGCCAAAGAAGCTAGTGAGAGATCTAAAGAGGGCAAAGAAGGTCAGATTACTTTTTGGTAACGTGAAAATTTTTCTTTCTACGCACAAGTAGGATGAAAGAAAGGCTTATTCCATTCCTTGTTTTGAACTACGTCGTTAAAAAAAAATTTCATCGAGCGAAAAAAAGTATTATGATGTTATTACGAAGCAACGGAGGATCCAGCGCAGTCCATAATTTATCTCCAGTTTCGCACGCATTCGTTTTTCTTCTATTCTACCATCAGACGATTATTACAGAGACCAGCCGGAAAGACAGCACGTGGATTCTTGACGGGGAGGTAACTGATCGCTCAGCTCTCGGTGAAGAGGCAGAGAGTTTTTGCGCTAAGTATAAGATGTACAAGGTGAAAGAAATGCAGGAATCCATGAAGGTGACCGAAATAAGAACGAATGGTAAGAAAATCGTTGTATGGGGTCGTTTGATAACCAAGCAAAACAATGAGACTGAAAGTGAGGATGCCCCCACGTTCTAGATGGAAGTAAGAGACGGTTGCGTCCTTTTCAACGTGCCCCTCTCGTTCAGCCCCTAGCACTTTTTCGCTCCCGTAAATTGCAGCGTTCCCTTATCCATCTCGTCTATAATCTAAACTTAACATTAGCCTCATCCGTCCAATCTGGCTTTACTTTGTACCAACCGTTAAGTACTGATCCGCGACACGTACGCGTGGGAAACAAATTTTTCATAAAATTTATTAATATCTAACAGAGATTTGGAACCATTTTTACTTGAAACCCAAAAGGATAAAAATTAATGAGATATCTCTTTATCAGTTCTTCTAATCATCAAATAAACTCCAAGCTGTAAATCTTCCATGCACAACAAATACAATATATCAAGTACATATTATTGTGCAAAGAGGTAAAAGATGGACAACCGAAGAGGAATTCTTAACCTTATTTGCCGTTCGCCTAAGCTCTTTAATTAATCTCTTTCACGAAATACTTTAATTTTACAGAACGAGGACGTCGAGTTCGACGACGAAGTGAACCTTTAAACGGCATAAAGTTATGTCCTGGGGCCAGGGATCTCTACACAATGTCCAAAATATGTTCGGAACCTACGCCGAAGTGTTCACGAAAGTATAGTTGTTTCCGTTATGTCAAATGCGATGATGACACCGATCGTGGTTGCAAGAACGTGCACCATTCCAGTGTTTTCCTATCATGCTGCGCATATACTTGTAACGACAACGGCGGATCAGGAAGCGAAGTATTGGATGACGAGGCTACAGATACCTCAGGGAACGGACCCGGGGGGGAGGTAGAGGACGAAGAGGCTGAACCTGGGAACCCTGACGGGCGGTCAAGCGGATCAGGCTCGTTTGCATATTTGCGAAGGTTGTGATCAGTGTGTTTTGAAACCAAAGTTCATTACATGTGTAACTTTTAGTCAAGCCTAAATTTCGTAATGAATAAATGACATGCTAAGGAATAGATGTCTATCCTGTTAACCCGTTAGGAGTGACTAGCATCTAATTTCTCCTTACAATATCACCCCTGAATAAAACATGAAAGTCAGGAGAATTGAGGAGATGATCACCAACTAAACAAACCCTCGATTGTTAGAATTATCTTTGTCAGCAACTTAGTCAATGTGCAGAGAACAGTTTGGAGAACATGAATACTGATGTTGTAAAGGGTTAATCACGCGAGACTCTTTCCAGCGCCAAAAGTATCAAATATGCGCCTTCCTTTCAAGCAGTTCCCTCTTCCTCCGAATTGCTGCGTTGATGACGAGACAAGGACCCTTCTACCCAAACAACGTGAGAATCAAAACATGTAACCATGCTTGCGAACCAAACGCATCGCCATTTGATCTTCGCTTTCAATGTCTTCATTGTACGTTCGAAATGACCATGTACTTTTAAAAGAGAATTAACGACAAGCCCTTTGGAGAATTATTGAATCAGATTTGAAATAAGCAGCCAGGGATCGCTTTGATGAATCTGAAGATGCACGACGAATTTTCGAGACCCTCTGACAGAATAAATTTATCAACAAATCACTGAATTAACGCATCAATTAAGCAAACTACAAAATTAAGGCCTCGAACAAATTTATTAAACCCGGCAAATGACATAATAAAGTAATACAAATGTTGCGATTCCCAGAAATACACGCCATTATTAGTCTACCACGATAAAAATCAAATTAATCAATTATCTGATTTGATCGCCCAATAGCGCGTCTGCGCGTTATTTCTTTAACTGGTAAATTACATTTTCAAATTATCTAAACCCAAAGGCCAGTGACTTTAACTATTCAACGGAATGAAACAATTAAAACACTTTAAAAAAGGAAAAAACTCCTGAGCGAAACTGTTACGCATTTAACCCTTTCACTCCAGTGATCTCCATAATAATTCTCCTAACTGTCTGCAACGAAGAGAATATCAACTGACCCTAGCTGCCATACAATTCCTACAATGTTAGTTTGGAGAATTTTATATTGGATCAACTAATCGTCCCCTAATTGATATTTTTCTATAATATCGTCACGTGTCCGCTTGATGTTATGCTGTATTGAAATTGTGAGGAGAGGTTATGTCTTGGTCACTAAAGGAAGTTACGGAACTTTTCTGTTTACTTAACGAAATTGTAGTTGTTATATAATTACCATTAAACACATCTGGCTTAACATACCAAGGCCTCTGAAAGCTTTCTCAATTGTATTTGCAAAACAAGTTGTCAACACTAAGCAAAAAATAAAACTTGCAAGAGTAATTTAAACGCAGTAAGGAAAAGTCAATAATTATTTGTGACGTAAGGAAAAAGGCGCAAAAGTTTTGATTCCTAAAAAATTTGCAAGAATTCACACACACCTATGCCGAGTCATAAGCCATAGATGAAGTGCATGTTTAATCCACAACTCTGCAATAAACGACTTCAAGGGCGCGCACACATTAGATGATGTAGCCACGTCGTGCGCAAAGAAAACATTTACCTTCTAATTATTTTTCATTTTTCTTTGGGACAAAATTCACGTCTTTTTGCCAATTTCTTCACACTACTTGGAATATTTACACATTACAGATAACTTATTTCTTTACAATTTCATTTTTTTAAAATATCGAAATCTACGGAGAGAGAATCAGCTTCAAAACTGCTATTAGCAGTATCTAACCATATAACCTGGACTGCGAAACACCTGATATAAATAAATCCAGCTTTAATTGCTATGAAAACGGATCAAATTGATTTGGAGTTAACCAAGGATTTTAGTCAATCGGGTTTCGGTAAACAGGGGGAACTGGACACGACTGTTCGTACGGCGAATATGTCAATCAAATGCAAAGAAAGTGAAGTGGAATTGCCGCTGTTCCCAAGTTAAACTCGTCAAGTCAAAGTTCGTGAACTGCAATCCGCAAGAACCTTCTACATTCTTGTCCATCCGTTATCTTTTTTGGTTAATTTTAGATCTCTGGTGTTTTCCTACCATGAAAAACTCTTATTTATAAGCTTTGTGTCCATTAAGGCAATATTTTTCTCAGACTCCTAAGAAAAACTGAGTCATGAATGATATATGAGCAATTTGAAAATGAATCCGACACGAGCGTGTCCAAAGATGATGATTCCGATTGGATCAAAGTTTTAACCAATCGTGGTTGCGTGAGTTTGTTCGCCTCAGTAAATAGTGAACCATACGAAATCTCTTGTATAGTTGCCGTTTACGGTTAACAACTAATAAAAATCTTCCAAAAGAAGACTTCAAAAGTGAAAACGAACACTCTCAAGTTCGAGCAAGGCATTGATATACTCAACCGAAGCCACTGTAATTCACGATTGTGATTAAATGGAATAAAATTTACCGTTTAAATTAATATATTAACTGATTCAAAACTAACATGCGGCTGGACCACGTAATATAAAAATCTTTTGGAGTACCCACAGAGAGAAATATTACCGAACTAATACCACTGCTTGGAATACATCGTAGTAATTTGAAGTAACGGAACAAAACACAAAAGTCAAATATTTAACGGAAAAAAACAGCAGTAAGCATTTTGTAACAATGAGCAACATACGAAAGCGCATTTTCAACTCAATAACAAAGGCTTCTGTAAAACTTAAAACTACTTCGTACTTCTCTCTAAAATTTTCCAAGAAGCTATGTAAAGGAATCACGTTTGATAATTCAGCAAAAGCTGACCGTTTGAGGCCAAATAATTCAGATCAATTTGTTTAGAACATCATTTGAACATATTCTTATCGCTTAACCCCTTACGCCCTGAGATCAGTATCCACATTCTCCCTACTCTTCTCTCAACATTTCCTTTAGAACTGACAACGAGAATTCGTTTATCAATCAAAGCTTCTTAGGTTGGTGATCATTTCCTTTATTCTCATGATCTCAAAGCATGATTCAGCAGTATCATTGTAAGGAGAAAGAAGATGCTGAACGCTCCTTGGGATTAAAGGGTTAAGACGTATTAGCACTAACATTCAGAGTAGAAAGGAAAATACAAAAGCACGAAGAAACGGGTTCTGACTTTTCCACGATTGGAATAGAACCCTCCAGGAAATGCGAAAATAAACAAGTTATGTTGTTGAGCCAGTGTCTCGTCTCCTACAGATGAACAGCAGAAACGAGCACCGATCTTAGTGCCCAGATCTCTTTGACTGCGCACTTTCGTTTCAACGAAAAAAAAAATCACGTTGACGCGTCTCACCAACTGAACTCTGAAGCTTGAGCGTTTAGAAGAGGAGTTTAGAAGGACTGAAAATGAAGGAGGTTTGAGTCAGTATGACAACTGTATTCTGCGGTCTGGGGCAATTCTCAATGGAGTGTAGAAATTAATCAAGAATTGCTCTGGATTTGCTCTACTTTGCTCTATGATTTGTCCAAAAAACTCGCGTTGAACTAAAACCAAGCGCGTCTCAGTCAATCGCGTTTTCCCGCCTTCAAACAATTTGCATGTTTCCCATTGGCTACTTGACTCTTTTGATAATTTCTTTTTTCTAATTGGCTGTTGCGTTTACTTTGGTTTTGGTTTGACGACAGTCAATCTCTAAAACGTACAGAGGTTTACGCTTCAACTCATAAAACGGTAACCACACCAATTTACAGGGAAAAGTATCGCGGCTAAAAAGGGAGATTTTAGAACCACAACTAAGGAGTTACACGAATAAAAGAGGGATTAAATGTACATTAAAAACCCAAAACAAGTAATTTAGCTACGTACAGTCTTACATACCGCGTTAGTGATTCGGTGGAAAGTAAAAATTTTATTCCATTTTGGACATCTCAAACTTGGTTGTCATTAGTTCCTAACAAGATAAAATAAAATGTTTTTACTTCGATGGCTACAAAGATTCTTTAAATGCTTTTTGGGGAATGAGAAGTATATTATTTGTCCCACGTTCCTGACGAGACGAAAACAATTTTTTTTGTTTAACTGACGGGCTTAAAATATACCATTTTTAGAGGCTTTCAACATTGCTGATTTTAGCAGTATGCAGGACGTGTGTCATATATGAACCTTGCAATCGCCTAGTTCACTGTACAGTCTTTATGATTCAATGGTTAAGCGTTGGAGCGCGGAATTCGAATGCCTGAGGTTCGATCCCTCATAAGGACTTAGAATTTGTTTGTGTCTCACGCTCGTGACAGGAAGGGAAAAGATATTCTCTCTTGTAAAATTTGAAGCAGTTTGCGATTCTGTTAGCAGAACAACACAATGGAAATGTGACTCACCTCATCTGAGTCCAACACACTTGGTAAGACTCTAAAAAACGTTACACAAACCATGTAAAGGTTGAATGTTTTAATAAAATAAAGAAGATACAATACTATGAAACAGCCCGTGCCTATCCCAGTTTCCGTAGCATTGAGCGACAAGGAGTATTGCTACCCCTCCTGGATGAGATTCCAGTCCATTGCAAGTCCGTCCCCCCCCCCCTCCTCTGACCTGTGCCCTCCAACATTTCACTGACAGTTTGCCTGCGCCCATTTATACTCCTAAGGGAGGGGAGGGGGGGGAGGAAGGAGGAAAATGAGTGACACACTTTGGGAGTTAAGCGTTTTTCCAAAGAACAGAACAGAATGACCTGGCCGAGACTCGAACCCACTCCTTTCGATCCAGAGTTTGCCCCGCTAGTTACCAGCCCACCGCTCCTTCCCCAGTCTCCTTGGTAACACCAGGGTCAAGTACCAAAAACGCAATCCTGTAAAATATTCATCTCATTTTCGGCGAATATTTGCAAAATAGTCTATGATAACTTACGCATCAGCTGCAGAGCTGGGGATGTTTTCTTCAACCCATTTCAGATCATCCTCCTGAACGCAAAGAAACAACTGGTTACGCGCTGCTCAGACAGTCACTGTCACTGAATCAATTTTGATTCAGACACTATACAACGTTTTCATGAACTTACTGGTTTGTGTTTTCTTTTCGTGTCGCCATTGATGATAACTTCTGGTGTGTTCTTGACATTCCTCATCTTCATGCCATCTGCGAAAAATAAAAAAAAAAACCGCAATTTAGAGGAAGGACTCTTGGCTGCTGAAAAATGCCACACTAACCTAGCAAGCTACACAGTGGACCTAAAAGAAAATAACCAAAATACTTTATCATCCATAAGGTGACAAGATACTAGTTGACCTCGTCTCCTGAAGAGGACTCGCAGTATGCAGTCCGAAAATTGTGAGACAAACGATGATACTTTATATCTAGTAAAATACCAAGTTGAACAAGTTCCGCGTAGTTTTGGTTGCAAATGAAGCTTCTTCTACCCCATAGAGCGCAGCAGAGCAGAATTATCCCGATGACTCCTTAGAGTGACTAATTTCTTATTTCTCTTTACAATATGACCCTTTATTCAACCATTAAGGTCATGAGAATACAAGAAATGATCACAAACTAAAAGAAGCTGTTGATTGTTAAAGAGAGTCTCCTTTCCAGCACCTTGGGAGATGAATGGAGAACAGTGTAAAGAATATGCATACAGATGTTAGTGTGTAAAGGGTTACAGCCGTAAAGAAGTGTTTTCCGACTCTCACCGAAAGCATCTGACAGGGTCATGTTCTCGTCTTCATCTTCTTCGTCACCAAAGTCAACAATTGGTGTGAAGGCGTACCTGTCAGAGAAAAGATTGCAACAGGTGAGAATATGCGATGATCGGAAATCTTCGGAACATTCTCGGAATTCTTCGGAACACCTTCGGAAATCTTCGGAACATCCTCGGAATTCTTCGGACGTCTTCCAAATTTTCTTTAGTGACGTTTGAAATCTCTCAAAAGGACATACAGAGGCGTAGTAATCACGACGGTCAACCAGAAGAAAGGAAAATGTACGGGGAGCCAATGAGAACTTAAAGAGGAAACAAGCATACAGCTTGAAGCGCGGGAACGCGCGAGTGATGAAGTCACAATTTATTTTTAAGTTCGCATCTGGTTGGTTTAAAAAGTGGAACGAGTTTTCTGGACGAATCATGTCGAACGGCTATAAGGAGCCAATGAGAAGTCACCTTGAAAACAAGTGCACCGATCCGAGCGCGCGAAAACGTGAGTAATCAATTCTCCAATTGATGAAATTTTACATCTGATTGGTTGCAAGGGTGACGTCAATTTTTTGAGCAATAAGTGAACGAAGTTAAGCAGAACCAAACAGACTCATGTCACTCTCAACACCCGATTGAAAACTGCTTGATTAGCAGATGAACGAAACCTGTTTACCTTTGATTGTTTGCTGTGGGTCTCCACAAAACCATAATAACCAGCAGCACGATCGAGAACAGGAAATGCCAAAAAGCTTCATCAAGCCACAACTCGGACCAATCCTACAAGAGAATAACGTAAATTGGCCTCCGTAAAGAATTTCTAAAGCTGTCGTTTCGAGCGTTGGCCCTTCGTTAGCCCTACAAGAACTTAGCAGAAGGTCAGTGTTGTGACAGCGTTGGCCCTTCGTTAGCCCTACAAGAACTTAGCAGATGGTCAGTGTTGTGACAGCGTTGGCCCTTCGTTGGCCCTACAAGAACTTAGCAGAAGGTCAGTATTGTGACAGCGTTGGCCCTTCGTTAGTCCTACAAAACCTTAGCAAAAGGTCAGTGTTGTGACAGCGTTGGCCCTTCGTTGGCCCTACAAGAACTTAGCAAAAGGTCATTGTTCTGACATCACGATTTCAAATCCTTACCGTGATACAACCACCCTTGGAAAATCTGTGAGTCTTGATGGACCAAATCATGTAGGCCACAGATGCTAGAATATGAAGAACAACAAACGAAATATAGTATCATTGTCATAATTTGTGTATGCGAAAAGGAACGAGGCAGTTGAACTGAGGGGGAAGATGTTATTTGAAAGAGGGACATAATGAGGGAAAGACAGAGAGTGAAGGAAGGAGGCTGTAAGGGTTAGAGGGTAGGGGTACAGAAAGTGTGAAGGGAAGAAGAAGGAGGAAGACGCAGGGTAGAGGTGCAGGCGGTAGGGAGAAAAGAAGGCAAGAGGGCAAGGAGGCAGGGAAAGTGGAAGAGAGGAGGAGGAAAAGGGAGGGAAATAGGAGAGCAACAAAGATGTGACGGGGGCTGGAAGGGGAAGAAATGAGTGAAGGATGTACAGGTCATGGACGGGAAGAGAGTAGAGGAGCAGGGGGACAGGAAGAATGTCATCAAGAATTCGCCGCAAAAACTAAAGAAATGAGCTCACCCAAAACTGCAAAGATAAGAGTGTTTGTGAAGTGGCGGTACAGGGAGAGTTTCACCAGGTTGCGTCTGATACGAAGAGTCCTTGTGGTCTGAACCAAGGACATAAATATCCACCAGCAGATGGAGGCATCCAGAACAGCCAACGGGATACTGGCAATCAACTGCTGACGACCAGGATCAGATTTCGGCTGCAAAAAAAAAAACCCAAGTGCCCGTAAATACAAAAGCAATTTTCATTGAGCCGAAACTTTATCGAAGCACTCTTCTTTTCTTTACTTCGTTTCCTTTCATTATAATTAATAAAAGACAAAAGAAATATAGAAAAACCAATTGGTGTCAAGACTACCCAAGAAAAAGTTGGACCATTATCATTCTACATTGGAAACGTCATAGTCCGGAATCCAAGAACAACTTTTTTCAGACACCACTTGGCGACCTAACTCCATGCGACGAAAACCTCCGAAATCGGACGAGAGTTCGAGATTGGACAATAGCGTCCGAAATTGGACGGTAGAGTCCGAAATCTGACGAAAGTGTCCGAAAACAAGACGAACTGCAAGGAAATGTCCGAAAGCACACATTGTCTTAAAAAATCTGTAAAGGAACCACCCGAAAAGTGTCCGAAAACAAGACGAACTGTACAGAACTGTCCGAGAGTACACACTGTCTTCAAAAATCTGTAAAGGAACCACCCGAAATCTAACAAAACCGTTTCAAATTAGACGCTCATTCGTATGAAGTTCTGAGGTCTCTTAGAGAAAATAAGCGGTGATTGACAGACTTACACGAAGTGCTCTAAAGCATCCCTCGATAGTAGCCAGGATGAAGTACAAAGCTCCAACTCCTAACACTCGATGAAGGGTTGATCCCAGTCTGGGTCTGATACGGGAAAAAGATTTTATGTTATGATTCGAAATTAAAGGTACTCCAATAAATAACGTAGTAAAATAACATAAGTTTACGAATCAAAAGCCATCCCGTCAGGGGTTCAGTAGAATGAAGCGATCAGAGACATTTCTCTACCCTACCATCCAGCCCAGCCCACTCCCCACTCCCCCCTTCAGTGTTTTCTTCAGTTACCTCAACATTTCGCTGGTACCCATTTATACTCCTGGGTGGACAAAGGCAGAATTAAGTGTCTTGTCTAAGAACAAAACTCTGACAAGGCCAGAAGAACAAACACACGAACTTACTTGACGATACCGAATCCCATACTGACAATGATGACCAAGATTCGAGCCAACGTTCTCTTGACACATGACACAAGCTCAGCAAAAACTGTCAATCCTGGGTCTAAAAAGCAGACAGGTGACCAACAAATAATCAGGAAAATTAGATAAATTGATGCAAATCACTTGCAGAGTAAGTATCCAAGAGATACCTTAATGAGAAGGCAATAACAAAGAAGAGCATATTTTCCACAAATACACATTAGAGGATTCACATTTTTTAACACCAACTGTGTGAAAAGTAAGAGCACTTACTTGTCTCCCCGGTAATGTTAATGTTATTGTACTCTGAGAAGAACACAGCCTTTTCCAGCATACCTACAAAAAGAATAATCATGATAAAATGACGACTGCAATGCAATAGTATTAAACCCAAGAGTTCACGGTTCTTTTTTTTTAAAATGCCTACACTGCAGAATAATTCTTGGGTCGTATGTTCATGAAAACAGTGATCGCTCTGTACTGAAACATCACCCGTGCGTGGCGCGTACAAATCCCACGCAATGCACTGTCTGTATAAAATACAATAATACACAAGATAGTTTAGAGAAAGATGTTTTTTTTTTCGTCTTGTCACGAGCGTGGGACAAAGAAAAAAATTCTGAGTACCCAAGAGGAATCGAATCTCAGACCTTCAGATTCCGCGCTCCGATGCTCTACCACTGAGCCACAGAGACTCCACGGTGAGCAAGGTCTATTACGAAGTTCATATGACACGCGTCCTGACAGTTTACTAACAAGACAGTTTACTCACCCAGAGCAATAACACCTCCAATCCAAAACTGAAAAGAAGACCATGAACAAGTCAAAATTATATTCATGGAAGAAGAAAAACACGCCTGCAGTACAGCTCAAGTATAACGTCAGATAAAAGTTATCTTGATCTAAAACCAAATTCTCGTAACTAGTTTACTAGGAAATGTATAGCAGCTAGATAGGAGTATAAACGATCAGATCTTGGGAGTTTAAGGGTTTAGTGTCATCTTATTTTCCATTCACTCATCATTACTTTTCTTCATACACTGTAGCTGTTTTTCTTTGGAAGATTTGCAGGAGTTGATGAAGATAAAAATTACAAGATTGAACTGTTCTGGTACAAAACTTGAAAATTACTTATTATTCATAAAGACAAGAGAGCTCGTCTTCACTTTACACGTGTGGAAAAAAAATCCATACAATGACAACGCCATGGGAGGGGGAGGGGGGGGGGGAAATTCAAAAACTTTTTTCGAAAGCAGCTGCCTATAAGTAACCAGCTCCTAATAAAACCACTGCATCACTGAAAGTAAGATGAGATTAATACCTATACCTGTATTCTGAGTAAATCTCTCCACTGGCAAGCAGAAACGACCAGCCACACAAGGCCATAGAACACATAGAGAAGTGACATGGTGCCATAAAACTAAAGGTATGAAAAACAGATTCTGATGAACACTCTTTTATTGAGTGAGTGTGTACATGTAAGTAAAGATAACTTCAATCATTAAATAAAGCCACTTTTCATTTTGTTTCCCATCAGTTCACCTTTTCCGTTTCACCACACTCTACGCACTCACCACCAGTTCTATTGCTGTTGACAATGGTGCTCTGTAGAACACACCACTAGAGCTACCAATGAAACAGTTTTGGATTCTTTGTCATGTGCCTTATACCATTACCCAGGTAGTAAAAAATGGCAAAATACTCCACAAGTTCTTTAAGAGATTGAGAATTGTACATCAATACCATTTTCTTAAAGGGTCACTAAGGTTTTGGAATTTGACAAATCTGAAATTTTTTTTAATACTTTGGATTTCCTGTACTTTAACAATTGCTGTAATCATGGTCTTTGTACATTCAAACTCAAGCTGATTACAACTGAATTCCCTCTCCTTTTTGTGCCTGCTGCTAAACTTCAATATTAACTCTTACTGGTCCTAGACACAAAATACAATACTTGCTTGGATTTTAGAGGGAACATCCAGGGTAGCCATCATTGTCAAGATATATTGGTGAAGAAAAAAAACCCTGTTGCAAGCCACCCATTGACAAGCACAGAATAAACAACAATTTTTGACATTCTAGTAGGTTACATTTTTAATGGCAAGGATTAAATTAACTGCATGTAGCAACATCAAGAATAAACCATGCAATAGCAAAACACACTCTTTCCACTTACAGGATACAGAGGCCAATCAGATGCAGACAGATAACCATTCTTCCCTTTCATTTCAACATCCACTGTACGAGAGACAATCAGCTGTCATTAGCAAAGTATAACACACAACAACATGGAATCTTTTTCTTAAATAAATAACAATGATCCATTATTTCACTCAAGCAGATGATTTTGTTACTTACAACTCAGATCAAAGTCCTCATCTTTTTCAAGTTTATTCACTGGTATAGCCTCGATGACTAATACAAAGACCCCATCACGTTTTGTTTGACAAATACGGTTCACAACCTGTTAGAAACAAAACAAAAAATTAACAACTTTTTATATCAATATCATATCTTTTAACCCTTTAACTCCCAAGATCTCATTAGTAATTCTCCTTACTGCCTGCCATACAGTTCTTGTGATGTTAGTTTGGAGAATTTAGCATTGAATCACCTTATAATCCCCTAACTGATATTTTTCTTTATTCTCATCACCTGCCTGCTTGATATTGTGTTGATATTGTAAGGAGAAATTCTGTCTTGGTCACTTATGGGAGTTAAGGGTTAACATCTTTATAACTGAGGTAATTACCACCATCATAACTATCATTATTAGTAATAAATGGAACAAAGCTACAGGACATAGACATCCAGAATCCAAGAAATCACCAAGAATACAAACATATTCAAATTATACAGTAAATGGTTTGAACCTGTAGTTAACATGTGATAGTGTCGTCTGATCATCCAGGTGAGTGTAGTCCTGTGAAGTCCCAACTCCTGCTCAGGATGTTGAATTGTCAGTCACTACTGCTGACAACAATCCTTCTCAAGACTGCACTCACCCTTGCAATCAGACTGAACTACCATATCAATTCCAAAGATCCTGGGGAAAAAATGTTGCTATTTCTCATCTGTGATCAGTATGTGAAAAAGAAGGATTACATATAAACGATTTTTTAAAAAAAGACTTGATATTCACCTTTTCTTCAGTTTTCTTCTTAGTTGTTCCTGTTTTTTTGGGCTTTTTCTACAAATCATTAGCAAAATAACAACAACATCAATAAAAAGAAAAATGGTACAAGAGTATTTTTAATAAATATAATCAACAACCTAAAACTATTATCACAGGGATAACAATTACCATTAGGATATTAGTAATAATAATAAGTATTATCATTAACATTATCATTATTATTGCTATCGTTATAAAAAGGCTATTACATCTCATAATTGCTGCACAACAAAATGATCAATTTTGAAAATTTATTGGATAACACCTAAAATGTCTTGAAAAGAAAAACCGCTAAAGGATAAGACTAATAAATGACAGATAATTAAACAAAATCATTATTATTCAATAGCTCATTCTCATCAGCTGGAACCACAGCTTTTCTCACAGAAGTTTTCTTGCTTATGAAGTAAAGGCAAGAAATTATGTTCGCACCCAAAGCTGTGTAGGAAATTGCAAATGCAATACGTGAAAGAGCTTTAAAATCCCTTTTAAGACATTTTGAAGATATCAACTTGAAGACAAAACTTTATGAAAGACCTTGAAGCTTACCGATGAACTTTTTGAAGATGGCTTTTTAGAACTTTCTGAATTCTTAAGGAACAAAATAACCATTGTTAACATCAGAAAGGGTAATACATTGAAAATCAGAGACAAGTGATGGATCAGTCACAAAATTAGGATGGTGCATTTTACAATCTTGAAGTAACTTAGTAAAACTTTCAAACATATTGTTCATCTTGTTCACAGATTCAAATTACAGTGCAAGCTGACTTGTTTTGTGAGTGTACAGGGTGTGTGTCAGCTGACCCATTGTCACAGTTTTTAGAAAATGTGATCTTGGGATGTTTGTGCATTCACAAGATGGCATTGACATTCTTTCCTTGCAACATGAACGATAATCCACAATGTCAGAGTTGCAGGTTTTCATACTTAATGCTTTAACTCTCAAGAACTGTTGAATAATTCTCCCTTCTGAAAGTATCACTTATCCTCATAATTTGGTGTTGGATCATGGCGACAACTTCCACCTGATAAGTTTGAATATTCTCATTACCTGTTTGCTGGATAATGTATGGATATTATAGGGAGCAGTTACACATTAATCACTTCTTGGAATTGAAGGGTTAATTTCATATTTTACATGCATAAGAGAGTATTTGCAATATTTAGTGAGGCTGGTCAAGTTCAGTTCAAAGCTGGTTTAATAAGTGGCCTGTATGAACAATAACAAGGTCAGATCACAACACCAGGAGCTATGTTCCCTTCTCTTTGCAAGAGGTGCATGGGTTCTTTAATGTCCTCTGTTAACCAGTAAAGAGAGGATACAGGAGACAGGGCGTAAGGGTTATCATCCCCATCAGAGACTAGAATGTCTAACCATTTGCCAATGTCATAGCAAAGACAGCACATTCTCATTAGTTATTTTAAGACCCTGAGGGTTGGTCTGCTCTGGGACTTGAACCCTCGCCCTACCACATGGCAGTGGCCTACTATGTGAGCCAACCAAGCCTGGTCAATAATTTTTTTAAGATGGGAGCTTACATGTACTTGATGATAGAGCTCACCTCTGAATCTTTTGTTGTAGATGATGCAGTTGATGATTTACTTGTTTTAACCTCTGGTTTAACCTCTGGTTTGCTCGCGTCTGGTTTGCTTGCCTCTGGTTTGCTCACCTCTGGTTTGTCCTTTGGAACAAGAGGGAATCTATTAAAAACTGCTGTAATAATCTCACACACAGGAGCACTGTGCCTGGAGCCTATCAGTGCCTTTTCTTATTAACCCTTTGACCCCTTTGAGTGACTGACATATAGCTTCTTCTTACAATATCACCCCAGAATCATGCATTACCAATGCTCCAAGTTGCAAACCTTTGGTCCCCATGGCAAGTGAAAAATAAATTTGGCAACAAAAATTAAAGTAAAAAGTTGCCACCTGGTGACTAAAATTTTTGACAAAAGTTGCCAATTGGTGACCAAGATATTTGAAAATAAAAAAAAAAAAACCCAAAACAAAACCATGAACAATTTATTGATCCTTGGTCCAATTATCAAACAAAGAAACCATTCCCAAATACACAAAAACCTACCTAAAATGAACAGTGCATGATAAGTCCAATTGATTTTGTTTAGATGAACTTCATTTTATATTTTTACATTATGTGCTGTATCTAACTCCAACCTTCAACTATGCAATAAGAAGTATAGTGACTAAATATTAAATCATTCTAGATGTCATTTACAACACACAAGGTTTTAAAACCAATATTTCAGCTAACTTCAAATGAGATGTTTCTCCACTGAGCAGTGGACCAAACTCATATTAAACATGATATGTCACTCACTCTCTGCGACTTTGTACACTGCTTAACCCTTTGAGCTCTGAGAGTGACTAGCATCTAATTTCTTCCTACAAGATAACTCCTGAATTGCATATTAAGGTTATGAATTTTTTATGAAAAAATAGTCACCTGGGAAGGAACCTTTTGATTGCAAACAAATTCTCTTTGTCAGTTTCCTTGGAAATGTATAAAGATCAGTGTGGAGAATATGCATACTGATGTTAAGGTGTAAAGGGTTAAAGCAGACAGTGTCTCTCAACCTTCTTATCACCTCTTTCGCTTGAAAATGTATTGACACTGTTGGAAAAAAATTATTCAGGAATCACCCTTCTGCGTTTAGCCTTTTGACCCTAACATCAGTATGCATATTCTTCATACTTTTTCTACACATTTCCTAAGGTGCTGACAAGGAGAATTTGTTTACCAATCAAGAGCTTCTTTAGTTGCTGATCATTTCCTTGATTCTCATGATCTTGATGGGTGACTCAGGGGTGGTATTGTAGAGAGAAATTAGATGCTGGTCACTCCTGGGGTCAAAGCCTTAAAGCAGACAGCTATAACTGTCTCACAGCCATAAAAATCTTACATCTGCATCTCTCTTTCTTCGTTCAGAGGTCTTCTGAGGTTTCCCATCCCCATTTCCTAGCATCTCACTCTAAAGGGGAAGCAAAATATGACATCTGGTTACTTTTTAAGAAAGAAAACATTACTTCAAAGTACCAGTTACAAACAATACCACAATACATGTTGGAAACCAGGTCAGCAAGTATGGTGTGCTTACCACATCAGGGTCAGGTTTCTCTTCTCCTTTTGAATCTTTTCCTTTTTTGCCTTCATTTTCCTGCAAAAAATGAAAAACAGATTGCCTTTCATTTTAAACACAAGTTGAAATTTTCTTCAAATGACTACTCTGGCAAATGAACACCTTCAACTACTAGAAACTAGGAAACACTGCCTTCCCCTTAAAATACTTCATTGAAACTTCACCAAAGAGGGGCAAACTACTAGCACAAACCTTCAGTATGAAATCTGCCTGAAGTATATTAATTAACCTCAGGGACATTAATATTGTTCAAGTGAATTATGTATGAATAATGGACTTTGCATTTTTTCCATCACACACACATTATTAGCTTTTCTGTAAGAGTCCTACAGTGGATTGAAATACAAATTCTCACAGTCATCACATTGGAGTACAAAAGTACATGCATGGGCACATATGTAAAAAAGTCAAAAGATGAAACACATGCACCTTTGCATGTAAATCATCAAATGCTGCATGCATATAACTTCACCCAATGGAAGTGCATGCACACTGTTATTCCTACAAATTACATGCACATGTGATTGATGCATGTATTGGCGCTGCGATACACACTAACAGATACTACAGGCAGACATTATTCATCAATAGAAATTGGTGAAGTAAACTCTCCTTTTTTAGTACAAAAACTTCAGTTTATTAACTGGTCCTATATCCCATTCACACCTGTCAAACATCATGTTTTGTTGAACCAGTTTTCAATGAATATAAATCAGAAACTTACATCAGTGTGAACAGGTTTCTTTTTCTTTTCTTGCTCTGTGTCTGCCTTCTCTTTCTGCTAGCAAATGAATAAAAAATACCAAAAGTTACAAAATTCTACTTTCAATTAATCTTTTTCAGTTGAAGTTTACTTTGCTGCAGTTAATTTAACCCTTGCATTACCAGTTATGATTAGAAGAAAGGAAAATAATTTGAAGAAGTTTCAAGAACTCAAAGTAAAAACAACTAAATTGCCTAAAGTACAAGAAAAGCACGTGTTTTACATCTGATTGGTTGAGAGAGTGGTGCAAGTTTTCTGGACCAATCACAGAGCAAAGTAAAGTAAAACACCGATGCAATCTCAGATTACCTCTAAAACGCAACTGAACTTTACTCTATCTATAAGACTGTTGACATTACTTTAAAGTATGAGCTATTAAAAGTACTCCAGCTTGCATGAAAAAAATCTTGTCTACCACTGGTACTTACACGTTCCTCTTCTTAATCCACTGCACGTGCAAGTTACTTTAAATCAATTTTTTTCAATTTAAGGTTCACTTATTATTGCTACCTCAACCAGCTGTCAACTCTTAAACTCTTAACCCTTGAACTCTTATGAGTGACCAAGACAGAATTTCTCCTTAAAATATCTATACAATATCAACCAGGTAAGTGATGAGAGTAAAGAAAAATATCAATTTGGGGGTAGTTAGTTGATCCAATACTAAATTCTCTGAACTAACATTATAAGAATTGTATGATTGACAGTAAAGAGAATTACAAATTTGATCTGGGAGTTAAAGAGTTAAAAGTCACCTGTATCTCATTTTTCTTTACAGCAATACTGCTGAATCATTTATTAAGATCAAGATATTAGAGGAACTGATCACTAACCAAAGAGACTTTGATTGTAAAACAAGTTCTCTGTTTCATTTTTTTCTTTCTTATCTGGGACCTTCTTCGCATTAGGCTTATTTTTATACAAAAGCATGTTGACAATTTGATATGAGATTGCATGATATCAAATAATCAGGACACATAAGATTACTTTTGAATACAAGTTATTGACTAAACTATTGACAGTGTACAATGTAAGCGAACAAATTAATGTCTAACAGTATGACGTACATCATCAGTTTTATTTTTCTCATCTTGATTCTCCTCTGTTCCCTGATCCTTTTCCTGTTCACAAATGAAAGAAAAATAATGGTACACAACGTGAATATCACCATTAACATGTTCACTTCCAAGATTGGGTTGAAAATTCTCCCCTCCAGCTGATACACATTTCCTTGTAAATTAGTTTAGAGAATTTGATGTTAGATCAAGTTGACTACTCAATAACTTGGAGTACTCTCATCACCTGATTGCTAGATAATGTATTGATATTATAGAGAGTTACATGTCAGGGCATGAAATTAACTTTTTTTTCTGATAGCCACTTGGCTCCTAAATTCTTCAAAGTGGTAGCCAATTCAAAAAAAGTTGGTCGCCATTTTCAAAGACAAACAAAGTCTTTCTTTACGCTGTCAGCGTTCTAGATAGATCCTCCAAAATTAAGTTAGGGAAAAGATCTTTAACGTGCTACAAAGTGGACACTAGGATGGATGATATACAACGTTCAGGCTCATCTAAATCCAAGATGGCGTCTAGTTATCGATCGAGATGCATGTGCTACGTTTTGGAAACAAACTTAACGAGGAAGTTTGCTGCGGATTTATCTTTGCAAATCTTTTTAATTCACGGTATCTCTTGGTAAGGTTATGATGAAACGTTCTAGTCGCCAATTTGGCGACTAACTTTCAGGATTTTGTCACCAAAGTGAAAAATTTAGTCGCATTGGCGCCTGTATTAGGCGCAATTTCACGCCCTGCATGTCAATCATTTCCAGAGGTGATTAACATGCAACTTCTCCCTAAAGTATCCATATATATTATCCAGCAAACTGGTGATGGGAATACTCCAACTTATCAAGTACAAGATATTATATTGATCCAACACCAAATTCTGGTAACAAATTTACAAGGCAATGTGTAGCAGCTAGAAGAGAGAATTAACAATCCAATCTTGAGAGTGAAAGGGTTAACTAATCATTACAGTTGAAGTTAAATTATTCTAGTTACTACAACTACAGTAGTTCAACACCATAACTACATGCTCATGTACCTTATACCTTTTGAAGGGTTTTCATTTAGTCTTTCAGGCTACATCAGTAAGTAAACTTACAAAGAAATAGGACTTCCTAAATCAGTTTTGTTTTAGTGTCTTCCAGGAAGGAGACATCTCTATGGATCTAGCATACACACATTTAATCTACACAACTGCCTCAAGTTACTCTAGAAATTACTTACTTGACTTTCTGTAACTGAAGGGCTGGGTTGAATCAACTCTATTACCGTATCAGTTTGGTCCTACACATATATATTAAAAAAAAAAACAGCAATAGAAATTATGTGCCACAAAAAAACAGATGCCACAAAAAGTACCACCTGGTCTTAGTTTTAGCCTAGTGCTACACAGTTTACATAAGCCTCAGAGGTCCTTAACACCCACAGTTGAAAAGCTTTGTCCAATAAATGCATTATAACTTTTTCTAAGGCTTAGTTCAACTCTCCTCCAATAAATAACAGGAATTTAATCTACTGGGACAGTGATGGCAAGAAAACTATACAAAATGAAGTTCCATGTATATTTTTATTCAGAATTTTACATTCAGCTCCACTTGTCTAGCATATCTGGTGGCAGCATATCTCTTTTTTTTTAGACCAGACAAATATTGGTGATTTATCATTGTTGTTTTGAAGACAGCTAAAAAAATTTCCAAAGCTTTTAATAACAAAATAAAAGAATTAAACAAGCAAATACAGTATTCCTCAAACAAGCACATGAGCACATATAAGATTTAGGCTAAAAGTGCCAGTGCTGCAAGAGGGTGTGTATCATCCTTCTGTGCTAATTTTGCTGTAGTTAATGCTTAAAAAGTTACAAATAAAGTGGCAATAGAAGCAGGTTTACCTTATATCCCTGTTACTTAAGAAAGTCACTCGGAAGTGAGGGTGCTTATCTGTGAGGTATCCAGTCAAGTCACTGATGGTTCAACTCGCCAATGCCAACTCACCAACATATAAAATGGAGTAGAGACATCAGCGAGTTGGTCTTCAATCCATTACAACTTATTAGAAATTAAACATAGAGAAAAGTAAAAGATTTTTAGTAAAAAAACAATTTTTTTTTCTTCCAACAAAGTTTATAAGGATTTCATTGCAAATAAAGCAAGGTAAACATCACCAATGACTGTGAAAGCTTCAGATGTGAATGAGTTATAGCTCAATCACGTCTAAAGCTTTTTTGGTAATTAGCAATGTTCACCTTGCTTTATTTGCCTTGAGATCCTTTAAAAACTTATAAACTTTGGAAGAAAAAAAATGTTTTTTTACTAAAGGTCTTTTACTTTTCTTCATGTTTAACTTCCAATAAGTTGTACTGGATTGAAGACCAACTCGCCTACATCTCTACTTGATTTTATACATCAGTGAGTTGACATTAGTGAGTTGAACTGTCGGCGACTGGACCATAATTCATCTGTGAGGGGCACTTGTTTGACAATATAACTTATAAGATATAACTGGGTGCTTATTTGAGGAAATAGAGTAGATATAAAACCAAAAGTTCAAGGCAAATGGATACAAACCGCAAAATGTATTGCAGCTTTACAATCCACAGTGTAGTTTCCATTCAGCGAGTGATTGGCGTAACCACTATCAAAAATTATACCAACACGGTCCTCTCCTGAATCATCACCACCATCCTGAATAGAAATGAAAAGTTTTTAAAGCCTTTCAGTAATTCTCCTTACTGTCTGCCATACAATGTATTACAATGTTAGTTTAGAGAATTTGGTTTTGGATCCACTAATAATACTCTAATTGATAATTTTCTTAATTCTCCTCAATAATCTGCTTGACATTGTATTAAAATTCTTAAGAGAAATTCTGTCTTGGTCACTCATGGGAGGTAAAGGGTTAACACCCACACGCATACACAAAATTACAAGATTCTGGGGCTTGAATCCTACTTATTGACAAAATAGTGAAAGGATGTCATCACAATAAAACGTAACATTTCTAATAATTTTATCAAAGTCATGGACTTGTCATGGTCTAACAGAACACGAGCAAAGCTCATAAAAGTCTTAAAAAACTTTGAAAGCTGATTACTATCCAAAAAATTGGTAGAATTTCAGGAAATTTAAAAGATGTGACAAAACAGGGAACATTCAAGAAACATGTACCTCCAAAGGTGAGAACATCTCAGCACATGGTGAAACTGCCAAACGCCATTTAATAAAGATTTTTCCTTTATAACCCGAGCATTGCCCTTCATGAAACAAAACAGAAATTTAAATTGATAAGTTTTTAAGCTAGGGATGTTACAGTATCTGTATGAAACAACAAGATATCTCAAATTATTCACTGGGAAATTATGGCTGCTACAGAAGAAAAATTCGAATTGCATCTAGAATAATCTTTGTAATTGTTGCACTTTTCATTTATTTATTTTGCATACAATTTTTTACAGCATTAAAAGCAATTTTGGCACAAAAAACTAACATAGAAGGGTTAACATCAAAGGATGCCAAGATTATGAAAATACTTTTGCCTGAATGGAGTCTGATTACACATCAAGAGTTGGCTTTAAAGCTCTTGTAAAAAACATTTCATTCACTAAACAGTCAAATTTGTTTCTGCATTTCTTGAGCACTTCGAAATGCTTAAGCACGTCCTAAGGCATCTTTCCATGCATGTTCTTGTAGTGTTTGGCAATGGCATAGGATTGTTTTTTATGTCCTTTTGCACGATTATATAAATGTCTACATGTGTAACCTACATAACCTGCATTGCACAGGTCACACTGAAAAATATAAACAACATACTGCTGATTTACAATTGGTGGCTTTGTTTCTTTGAAATTTAGTTCTTGTTCAATTTTTCCACCCACAAACACAGGCTGGATGGCAGTGTGTACTTTTAAGCTCAGATCCTTTAGTTGTTTTCTCATGATATCTGCTGAGATTTGGTCTCTAAATGGCAAAATTACATGAACTGTGTCATCTGGCTCTTTAGAGGGTGACAAAAGTTGCTGCTGATCACAATGCTTTGAGTCAATGAAACTTTTGATGGTAGAGTAAATGAGGCATTTGGTGGAACTTCAAACATGAGAATACTGTCTTCGAATGGTCACATTCATCGGAAAAATGTGACCAAGATAAAGATAAAATATGTGCTCCATCAGGTGTAGTTCTTAGTGGACCCTTTTTGAACCGAGTATCAACATGACTCTTGGTTCAGTAACTGGATACCCAGAAATGGGAGCATGCCATTGCATTCGATTGAATTTTACAGAGGAATGTGCCATGTTAAGGCATGTCCAGGAAGTTAGATGCTGTTGCTATATTTGGCATGATGGTGCATGTATTGCATACATATCTTTGATAGAAAGAAGAGAGTTTGCCCTCTCGCTCAAGGTTCTCTTCCATGTGGGACATGAACACATTAGCTAGAAAGGGACCAAGAGGGGATCCCATGGCCACACCATCTGTCTGCTTGCACAGAGCACCAATGAACTGGAATAGTTGTTTTTTGTTAGCTACACTGAGAAGATCAACAAGATCAGCTTTGGTGAGGTTCAAGTCGTATGGTTGTATTAAGCCAGTTATTTGTGAAAGCTCTCAAATAAAATATATTCAAGTCCACATGGCAACCAGGTGGACAATCAGACATGGTTTGATGTGACTCTGGTTTACAGATTTAATGAATGTAACCGAAGAAGTTACAATTCATAGACCCAACGTTTCGACACCCCTGTTTAGTGCCTTCATCAGGGGTGATCTAAACGCTGCAATAAGAGGTCCTCAGAGGCTTGAGTTTAGTGTCCAGCCATTTAGCTTAAGCATAGTTGTATGTTTGCTTTGCTGATAGTATAGGACACATTGCCAAGCCCTCCTCGTGTGTTTTTGGTAAACCATACAAATGCGCTAAAAGCTGTGAAAGCTGAAAGCTGAAAGCTGTGAAAGCTGAAAGCTGAAAGCTGTGAAAGCTCTGTTCGCAAGAACCTTTATTGCTTCATCTAGGGGTATGTTAGTAAACAGGGAAGACATGTTATACAAAACCAAAATGCCACTGTTTGCGATCTCCAAGTTGTGAATCTCGTTCACGTATTCAACATGTCAATTACCATATAATGATTCAAGAACAGAGACTTGAGTTTAGTGTCCAGCCATTTAGCTAAAGCATAGTTGTATGTTTGTTTTGCTGGCAGCATAGGGCACATCACCAAGCCCTCCTCGTGTGTTTTTAGTAAACCATACAAATGCGCTAATCTGGAGCCTGTAGGGCGGACCGTATCTGCGAGAGACTTGGGCAAGATTCTACGAACGATGAAATTTTTTTGAATTTTAAATAACAATTACATGTATCCCAGAGAAATTATAACAGTAGAGAATCTGATGGAAAATGCCAATGATAGTAATAGAAATATAATTACAAAGATCTCTGTCAACATCTGATCAACATTTCTTGACATCGCATTAAAAAAGCTGATTTTGCAAAAGTATCTACGAACAGCGTACTGTATCATGTTAAGTTCCACGACAATATCAATCGATCGTTTAAATGAAATTAGCCTCAGCTTGCGAACAAACCTTTCATTGCGACAGTGTAACCCTTATTCATCGTTTTAGGAAAACCACCATGATGACGTTCCTGGAAATAAAGAAAACAAGAGACGTCAATAAATAAATTTGTGAATATCAGCTTCTGAATACAGACTGCGATAAACAGCCTCTCACGATCAAAAACAAAATACAGAATGTAGCCAAGAAAGTCAACTGTCGCTTACCTTACTAAAATTTAATTGCTTTTTACCAGGTTCAGGGAGACAGCAAACGGAAAGAAGGAAAAATAACTCGAGGAAAAGCGGGAAGTATCTTTTGGTTGCCGCCATGTTTTCTTCGAACAACTGCTTTCAGCACAACGCATGAGCAGTGTAAAATGATGACGTTTACACGATAACGCTCTTGGGTCGTCATGGGTAGGGTGGAGATGTTTATGTTGTCCGCCAAGATGGCGGACGAGAGAGCTCAGTTGATTGAAAAGAAGTGTCTGTTTTGTTCGGTAGAAGAGTAACCCAGGCTGTCTAGAACGATTACAGAGGTATTTTTTTAACATGATTTGTATTTTTATACAAAGGAATCGAAGAAAGCTCTTTTTCTAAATAATTTAAGTTTGCTTATGTAACAGAAGATATCTGTCTGCCGTTAGATCATTTTGTGATTGAATGACAAAAGATCAAGGGAGAAAAAAACTCAGCTACCTTGTGCAGGTGGTGTGTATAAGGGAATCTTTATAGTTCTCTCTAAAATTTAATCCGGGAAAGAAAGAATATAAAGAAACCTGACTCTTTGGCTTACAGAAGACGACCGAGTGGCAATATTTGGCAGGCTAAACTCGACATATACATCTATGATAGTAACGAGATATGGATGGAATGGTAAAGAGAAATCGAAGGAAACTCTTAAATTAGGGACATATTAAAGAATGTAGGGCCGCTTCTATAATTTAATGACATTCAAACACTGTGGACAAGATTGCCATCAAAGGTTCCCTTTCCAATAGTTGCTGCTGAACAGTTTCTTTCAAAATGTGTGACCTGTAAGCTCCTCATGCACACGCCTCTAACATTATTGATTAACTGATTATTGGTTGATTTTATTCTTATTTATATTATTAGCAAAAGACACTAGGAGTGGTTATATACACGTCATGTTCTTGTTTAAGAAGGAAGAACAATGTCACCCTTTTCAAGTTCTCCTGAGTTGCCCATACTCAGCTGCCGCTTCAACAAGGTAAAGAATATTCCTTCAGCTTTAAGCCATAGTGCAAAATTATGTGGTCTATAAATAAGGCCAGTTGTGTCATGTCTTTCTTTTTCATTCCGCGAATGATGAAAGTTATTTTTAGAAATAGATCATTCACTCTTATATTTGCTTGTACGTTAGTTTTAGTATTGCTATGATTATGATGATACTTAACAGTAAGATAATGTATCTATGTGTACCTGCAAGAATCACAAATTTGGCTTGACTAGAATGAATGATATTAGGTAGCTACTTGATATTCCATACCTGCCTTAACCATTTAACTCCCAAGATCTGATTGTTAATTCTCCCCTCTAGCAGCTAAACATTTCCCTTTAAATTAGTAATAAGAATTGCTAAGGGTTAGATAAAGATAACAACTTCTACCTGATAAGTTTGAGTATTCTCATGACTCATTTGGTGGACAGTGTTTGGATATATTAGGGAGAAGTTACATGTTAATCTCTTCTGGGAGTTAAAGGGTTTAATAGGAGGAATAACAATCACATAATTACGCCTAATGGATGGAGATGATTGATGTCAAAAGACTTTTTGTACATATTTTCCCCTTATTTTTTCAGAATGGAAGTAAAACAAGATGATATTAGTTAATTTAGAGCTTGACATGTTTTAAGTTTAACTCTTTAACCCTCATGATATGTTTGTCCATTCTCTCCTCTACAGGTCAACAGGGAAACCAACATTGTATGATGTCCTTGGTGTGTCAGAAAAGGCTACACTTGGAGAAATAAGAGATGCTTTTATCTCAAAATCTAAAGAGGTGATGGGACTGTCTGGGTCATTTAATTGTAAATTAAACTAGATTTGTTCAGGAAAGTGGAATTAATGACAGAGACTTACCAGGCAGCAGACCACTTGAATTGTACATGTTGGCAGCATTCAAAGCTGCAACTAGTTAACCACTATTAAGAAATAAATAGTTTGGCAAGTAAATGTGCTAGGAAAGTCACCAGTTTTAATAATTTTACCAACTTTTGTCAATTTTCATCCTTTTTTTTTGTTTCTTTTGGTGACCAAGTTATGATTTTAGCTGGTCAAATGGAAACTTTGAAAGGCCTTTTGTGACACACTATGTAAATAAGGCCAAATATGTGTCACATGAATTTTACAGGAAGGCGAGCATGATTTGTAAAGTTATGAACCAGCGTAAGGCGTGCTTTGCCCTCTGAAATGTATGCGAACTGGGAATTTTTCTTTTCATATTATAAAAACCTCAAGATTTCCCTGAAACCTTGTAAGCAAGAAGATAGATTTAAAGTTGTCCTTTAACAAATGACAATTCATGCATGGAACAGAATCAGGACCTTCCCTTCACAACTCTCATTACACATGTGATGATACACTTAAGTCAGTAACAAATTTCTCACAGACATATTCATTTTTATTTATAGATGCATTTTTTTTTCATTAGTGAACTGGCACATGCACATTTACAACATGTTTACTGATTTTTTTTTTCTTTTTTCTACATGTAAATCAGTCACACCCAGACAAGAATCCAAATAAGCCAGAACTCCATGAAAGATTTGTGCAGGTAAATCTTGTTTTGCTTTTGGACTAAGTGAGGTACAGTTTGAGGTCTTCATGATCAAGCCCAGCCACTTATGGGTCAGAGTGGCAAATTATGGTGTACAGGTTACTATCTTGCATTCTTGGGCAGAACACTACAGTCTCACAGGGGTCTGCTAGACTCAGAATACAAACAGGGAGAACTAACATTCTTATCATGATGTGAAGCTCCAATTAGGAAACAAATGAGAATGAAATTTAAGTCTGTCTAGAATTGTTCTTAACTCTGATTCTGAAGGTGAGAAATGTTTTCTGTTATGGGAAATTTGATGCAGGTACCACTTTCGTTGTCATTATTCGTACTGTAAACGATGTTTGCATTTTGATTTTTGGCCAAACACCTTAAAATAAGCTTATATTAGAATGATATTTGGTAATGACTTGTTCTGGACATGAAAACACAATGCATATGATTTTAGAGAACTTTATTTTATTTTTAAAAATGCAGTCAACATGCACTTGTTATTGCTTACCTCAAATATGGGCCATGATGATGATGATAATAATAATAATAATAATAATAGGTAATTATTGAGAGAGGCACTTATCCATCATTTAGTGTTTTCTCAAGAAACATCTCTGTCAATAACCCTATTATCAGATAAATTACTGGTCCTCAAAGACAAGAGAATGATCTAGATGTTCCTGGGGAAACTGTTAGGAAAACTTTGCAAAATTCTGGAGGGAATCTTATGAGCCACCCTCTGACTCTATCATATAGCTTTTAAGAAACAAGCCTTGGACCTAGAAGACTTATGTGTAAAACCTCATCTAATTTAATCATGAATGTCTGATATTTTTCCTTGGTAGATCAACAATGCATACGGTGTATTGAGCAATGCAAGCCAACGGCGTGAATATGATTTAAAACTAAAATCCCCATCAGTTACCAGGCCTCCAGCAGGAAGCCCATTTGGTCCAGTACCACCCCACCGGTGAGAACCCTTTTTTTTCTGTAGAAAAGTAGTGTTTATCTTCCATTAACATTCTATGAATTAATAAGATGCCAAGAATTTTTGGTAGTTAAAATTTTATGGTTTATTTGAAATATACTGTGTAACAGTTTCCCACACAACACTGTAACATGAATCTTTGTCATGTCAACTTCAGTTTTGTGGATCTGAATTCTTGAATTTCATCCTTTCTGGCTAGGCAATCTACTCAACAATATTATTATGACAGAGCCACAAGTCAGTCCAACTACAGGTAATTTCACATTTGTTACAATTAACATTATTATATGTAAAGGATCTTAAACTTTTATTTAGAAATGACTGATTTTCAACATCAATAATTTATTTTCTAACTTACCTACTTTTTAAGTAAGCTCTATTTGCTGTCTTGATATTTTTTAATAGTGATGACAACTTTATGTAATTAATTTTTAGAAAATTACTCTTCTGAAAAATGGCTAGTGTGGGTATGGCTTATCTCTTGTAATGTGGTGATCAGGACAAAATGTGAATCACAAAACTGGAAGCTTAGTAGCTCCAATGTATTCATTACCCATTTTTCCAAGGCCTGATTGGTTCATTTTCTGAAACTTAATGATATTTAATTGCACTCCAGAATTATTCCTCATTTTAAAAGTTTTCAAAGTCACGCAGTTTATTTTAAAAACTACTAACAGTTCTTGGAGTGTCTGGAAAAATCTACATATGTATTATTAAAAACTATTCACTAAAGTGGGGGTGGCAAGTGGTGGATATTTACTGAGTCATGAAGTGGTGAGGTAAATATCTAACACTAACCACCAACATGGAAGTGAATATTTGTTTTGGTGAAAACTAAAACAATGAGATAATATAACACAAAAAGATGATTTTGTCTCCTTTAATCCTGCAACAGTTAAAATATTTTCAGGTGCAAACCCAGTGTGAGTTGCTTGGAGGTGGATAGCAAAGGATATTTGGAGTTTAAGTAGCCAATCAGAGAACACTTTCAATGCTATCCACTGTCTTAGTATATACCAATGATATATTGTTTTATCTCCAGACAAAGAAGAGATTTTGACTTTGTGTACCCAGCTGCCAACTCATCTAGGAGACAAACTTCTAATAGGAAGATTGTTCTTGGTGCACTGGCTTTCATGCTGATTGGAGGAGCAGTGGAGTACTTTATTATAAGGTAACCAAGTTTTTTTCCTTTTCATTTTTTGTCAAGATTGCCATGGACTATTTTAACAGGGCAAGTATTTGTAACATTGTCACTGGTCACTGTTGTCAGAGTTAAGGAAAGTTCCCTGTAGTTTTAACTGTGAGCTTTATGTTGCATTTACCTTCAGTTCACGTCACAGCAAATACAAGGCTCATGCTGAAGAGTTAAGTAGACGAAACCAACAGATTTATGCTGAAGTGAGAGAGAGAGCAAGGTAGGTCTGCTGAAGAGAATTCAGGATTCCTGTTAATCATGATCAACATTTTGTCACCTCTACATAATAATTACAGTGTATCATCATCACCAAACAAATTATGGCTTAAAATTAAAGGCAGTATTGTACATTTTACCACAATTGGCAGTAATGTTGCAATCTGATTGGCCAATTTGTTGTTGTCAATAAGAGTAAAGACAACCCTGCACCCCTCAACTTGTCATGCAATGGTCACGCACAGAAAGAATTGTTTTATATGACCTTGACATTGTGGTAAAAAAAAACTGACAGTTTCACGGCTGTGCCTCATGAATCCACAACATTTTGATAGATTAAACCGATGATGGCATGGTTCATGCCCAAACATGTCTTAAAAAGGTTTCTTCCTGAATCTGAATTTATTTTAATTATACTTTTATCACAGAGCTACTGAAGTAATATCAATAATCGTATAATGAAATGAGCATCTCTCCTCTGAACTTCTAGCTAGAACAGAAAGCCTGTCAGGTTTTAACCCTTCAACTCCCAATATCTGATTGGTAATTCTCCCCTTTAGCTGCATGACATTTCCTTGTTAATTACTAACAAGAATTTAGTGTTGGATCAAGATAACAACTTATACCTGATAAGTTTGAGTTAAATTTTAATTAAAATTCCAAGTTACTATGCTAAACATGACTAAAATTATTTTGTTTCAGAACGAATGGTCTTAGAAAGCAACTTGAAATTCTTGTTTCTCAACATACTGGACTGGATGGAGTAGCTGCTGCTAAGAGACTTCAGGAGTATTTTGACCAGGATGGAAGGGATTGACTGATAATTTCACCCTATTACTCTCATGAGTGACCAAAAGAGAATTTCCCCTTACAATATCAATACAATATCAAGCACATAAGTGATAAGAATAAAGAAAAATATCAAGTAGGGGGTTATTAGTTGATCTAACACTAAAATCTCCAGACTAACATCATAGAGTAAGGAGAATTGCTAATGAGATATTGGGTGTGAAAGGGTTAAATGAATGTATTACTGAAGTATAACTTATATCAAAACTTGTAAAAAGTAATTAAAAAAAATTAAATTCAAGTATAATAAATTCTCAAACATGTCAGGTTCATGATGGAACTAATTAACTGTTATATTTTTTCTTTAAGAACAGATTGAATCAATGGGTATTTTGTTTCTAAAATTTTGGGGTTTTTTTGGCTTTAACTGGTAAAAGAACTTTTTGTTGTCCAGTTCTGTTTGTAATTTTACAAATCAGACTCTGATCCTATCCTGTAGATATCCAATTTTGATAATTACTTATAAATTGTATAATATGAGACAAAATCGGATACCACTTGTTCCCAATACCATTGTTAATTGTGAAAATGTTGCATCAGTGGCTTGGACTTGAGGACAGGAACAAAAAGTATTTTTGTTGTGGTTTTAAGGAGAGGATTATAGTTGTTGTGACTTGTAATTTCTTCTCAAAGAATAAAACTTTTTCAGTTGTTTCAAACTGGAGTGCTAATTTAGGACATAATGGTTTTGTGTGTGTGTGGACACTTGTAAATATCCTTCAGTTCTTTTAGTTAAAAGTTGATCATTATGTAAATAATTTCATGTATATGCAAAACTTACATTCTTATCATGATGTGAAGTCCAATTAGTAAACATTTTTACTTTTTAAAAATGTGGTTGACATGCATATTTCATTGCTAACCTCAAATATGGGCCATGATGATGATAATAATAATAATAGTAATAATAATTATGAAAAAAAAAATAATAATAATAATGAAAATAATACTAATATTGATGATAATAAAAACTGATGGGGTGCTTTGTCAATAACCTTATTATCGCAAAGATTACTGGTCCTCAAAGACAAGAGAATGGTATGGTTATTCCTGGGAAGTGTTCACTATTTACCATGAGTGTGGCAATAGGACCATTGAAGAGAACAACTTTCTCACAGGGATAGATATGTCAGAAAGTGACTTAACAGAAAGAAACTGTAAGAAAATCTCGTATTGATTCCATTTTAGCTGAAGCTTGAAAAGTTACAAATTAAGTGGTAATAGTAACAGGTATCATTTCAGAAGGTGAGGGATGAGGGGGGGAGGCAGGGGGCACCTATTTAAGAGAAGAGCTTGTTTGACATTAAGGCCTAGGGGGTGTGCATTTATTAAGAGTTGGGCACTCAGTTGAGGGAGGGTGCTTTTTCAGGAAATTCCATGTCATACAATGCAATACACTTGCTGCTTTTCACATTGCTGATCCTAGCAGTATACTGGACTTTGGTCATATGAGAACATAAATGGCCCACCAGTAGTTCAGAATTGGGCTGTCTGTGGCTCTGTGGTAGAGCATTTTAGTGAAAAATTGGAAGGGATTGGAGTGTGGGTCCTTGTTTTGGGATTCACAATAAAACAAGTGACAAAACTATATTAAGTTTGTTTGAATATTTCTAGTCATTTATTTATATAGATTGACAATCATTATTAATATTGACTGTTGATTAGCCATGATAACTTTAAAATTATGTATCCATATCATGAAGCTGCCTGATCCAATTCTCTAAGAATTGAACTGACAATTTTCTCTACTTTTCTAAAGAACTGCCAGTTCTTGCAAAGGTCTCTTTAAATAGTTGATTATAACAATATTTAATAATATCACATTTTGAATGAGAAAGTCATTTTCTACTACTGCAAAATCTGTATAATTTCCTATTCTAAGACCAGTTTGTTGTGTTTTCTATGGGTACCAATGAAGGTCTCCACATACTGCTGCTGCTTCTCGATTCTGTCATTTCCATTGTGGGTTAAAATGTTCTTAACTTAGTTTCCTTGTTAATGATATTTGATAATCAAATGTATTTGTCAACTACTCACTCTGAAACTTGAAGTGGATTGCAGTGAAAGGTGTATCTCCAAGCAACACCTGTCACTTTGTGGGTTTAATTTTATTGGCAATGGTAAAATAAGCCATGCATATGGTTGTCAGGCAGTTAAGCTGCTCCTTTATCAAATTTCACTGTTTCTGCTGTACCTCAGTTAGTTGAATAATTACTGTATAGGAGCATGTACCAATCTGTAATGTATTGAGTATAGTACATGCAAAGAAATGTTACCTCATAATTTAAAAACCCTTATCTCCTAGAAGCTCCTGCACTGCTAGGGTTTATGTACAACACAGAATAATGTTATTCTATATATATATATTAATAAAAACTGTCTCTTGTGAGATTTGTCCAAGTACGCTATGCTGGTACTATGCGTTGACACTGTTTTTATCTTAATTTCCCACTGAATGGCTGGTGTTTGCTGCATTGATTAGAATACAAGAAACTATCATAAGATTGACCATTCCAAATTATTTTAAGTTGTAAATTTCTCAAAGTCCACAGAAAAGAAGTAAGCAAATCAAAATTGCTTAGTAATGCTTAATTTCTGCATCTGATTTGTTTAACATCAGTATGCATATCCTCCATACAATTCTCTATACATTTCCTAAGGTGCTGACAAGGAGAATTTGTTTAACAATCAGCAGGTACTTCAGTTGGTTATCTGATTTTCTTCATTCTTGTCACCTTAATGTTTGATTCAGGGGTAATATTGTAGAGAGAAATTAGATGTTAGTCACTCTTAAGGTAATGCTAACAGTGGTACATATTAAGTTTAACCCTTAAACTCCCTTGAGCAACCAACATCAATACAATATCAAGCACACAAGTGATAAAAATAAAGAAAAATATCAATGAGGAGATTGCAAGTTGATGTAATACCAAGTTCTCCAAACTAATATCATAAGAAATGTATGTCAGAAGGTAAGGAGAATTACTGATAAGATCTTGGGAGTGACAGGGTGAAGTATAAGTCATGATAATAATTCCCTGCAATATTCAAATAAGAGAATCACAGAATAAAGTTATTGGAATTAAATTGCATGTATAAAAAAAGAAACAGGATTTTTACTTCTTTTCAGAAATTTCCTTCTCAACCCTCGTTTATGGCATCTTGTTGAATTCTGATCTCTCTTTAAATTTGTTTTTTTGTCTGCTTGTATTTTGGTGAGAGATCAACTGGAACATCTTACATGGGAATAGGACACAACTAAATTATTTACTGACTTTGCCTGTGTGAAAAGCACAGGAGGCCTGGAAACTACAAGAAAGACTATTTTCATCATGTTTTACATAGAGGTTGCAGCATCACCAGTCCATACTTCTACTAATCTGGGCCTGCTTTCTTGTGCTGGACACAAGCTGCCGTGTTCTTGTATGTTGTGAAATGAATCACACTTGCATGATGATATCCACAAACTACTGCAGCGGCATGCGACGATCATGTATTCTTAGGCAAAGAGTCCATTCCATCATTGATAAACCTCTATCTTTGTCAAGATCGCAATCAACCAACAGCTTTTTGCCACATTTTCGTCCTCGTTTAACGTTTCCGAGAATTTTCTTCATGGTCGATGTGAGAAACTCACTTGACACAAGCAGTTTGTCCCTGTTTCTGTCCAATCGGTTGAACTTCCAGATTAAAACTTGATTATCTGATAGAAAGGTGCCAAAAAGTTGAAGGTTTCCTGATCTGGCACTTCTGCGTTGGTTTCTTATTGATTCAACTGTGCAGAAGCAAGAAAGATCAACACAATTACTAAATAAATATAACTCAAACTCAACTTGTAGGAAGCAAACATTTCCAAAGGTCACAAAAAAAATTGCAAAATCCAGTGATCTGGGACTTATTTTGGAATTTCTTATGGAAGACTCAGACACAAGTGGACTTTTTTTGACCCTCATGACAAGACAAGCTGCATTCAGTTTTACAACTGTGCTAAAAATTACTCAATGTCACCTTGCTAAAATTTTACCAATTTACCTTTTACATTCTCTTCAATCAGTTTGATTTCGCTCGCTTAAATGACTTATGACACTTTTGAAACATTGTCAACAATCCTCCTAGATGCAATTAACATACATTGGAAATTTTTTTTATTAATTTCTCCTTACAAAATCTCCCCTGAATCACACATTAAGGACATGTCCCTGAAGGAAATGATCACCAACAAAAAAATGCTCTTGATTATTGTACAAATTCTCCTTGTCAGCATCTTGAGAAATGTATAGAGAACAGTAAGGAGAATCTACATACTAATGTTAGGGTGTAAAGGGTTTTAACTAAATAACTAAATCATCAATAACCTTGATCTTCTTCATGTTTTGGAGAGTCTTCACCCACTTCTCTCCTGAACAGTCTCAGCATTTGTCTCCTGAATGACATCCACAAATCTTGAGCACATTCTAGGTGTAACAACAAACATCATTCATTAGAATAATAATAATAATATTTAATACTTATATTGCGCTTTTTCTATAAAAATACTCAAAAGCGCATTACAATATTATTAAAAACTAAATTAAAACCAGTAAAATTACTCGGTAAAATTACAATATTACAATATTAACATTACAATATTAAAAAAATAAAAATAATAAATATTAAATAAATAAATAAATAAATAAATAATCTAACTAAAAGCCTTTTTAAATAAATATAGAATACATATAGTGAGCAGATGGAAGAGACAAGATCGATCAGAACACAATGATACTATACAAGCCAACGTTTTTTGGAGTCAACGGTGTGATTCTCTTTGTAGAGGACACCATTTTTCCACAGGAAAAGCCCAAACCCTAAGCAATTTCTAAATATGTTAAAAAATTTCCAATGATATTGTGATAAGTTTTGACAAAACTGTATCTCCACCCCTCCCCCTACTAAAATCAGATGTCATTGCAACAGTAGGATCATTGATAAAGCTTTCCTGGATTGGTTGATGCTTTAACTGAATCTTTTCACCCCTAAGATCTCATAAATAATTCTCCTTACTGTCTGCCATACAATTCTTATGATGCTAGTTTGGAGAATTTAGTATAGGATCAATTAGTGATCCCCTAATTGATATTTTTCTTCATTCTCATCACTAATCTGCTTGATATTGTATTAATACTATAAGGAGAAATTATGTTTTGGTTACTCATGCAAGTTAATGGGTAAACATATTTTAGAAAACGTATCAAACAAATGTATCAGGCTGCAGTTCTATGAGATATTTTGTTTGCCTTAAGAATGGTTGAGCAGATGAGAACTGGTGTGTGATCAACATTGCTGATCTGGAAGGAAGAGAATCACTCCTAATGTATGAGAGGTAGCAGGTGAAGAACAGTTCTTTAGAACTATGTAGGAGCCCACCTTTCTTTGCTAAGCCAGTTGCATTCTGTTTTGACACTGAAAAGAAAAGAAAAAAATTCTCATTAACAAAAGTTGGGCTTCTCTTGCTGCTTGATAATCAAGCTTAAAATCCACCATGTCAATGTTGCAGATCTGCAATTTTTTATGAATTTAAGAAAATGAAGCTACATTTTCATCCCCTTATACCCTAGCATCCACATCCATTTTCTCAATACTCTACTTTATACATTTCCTTCGGTACTGACTGGGAGAATTTGTTTATCAATCAAAGCTTCTTTAAGTTTGACAATCAATTCTTTTATTCCTATTCCCATGAATGATTTAGCAGTATTACTGTTGGGAGAAATTAAATACTGGTCGCTTTTTAGTTTAAATAACTTACGGTACTTCCGGCAGTCCAAAGATGTAGCTTTTGTTGTCGTATTTGGAATTGGTTTGCCAGTGTCAATATCAACACACCAACAGTAACCAATGGAGTAATGGCATTGGGTTGGAGTAAATGAACCATCAGTGGCACAGCGAGGCAAGTATGGTTGGTTTTCACTGGAAGAATGCCTACTTGCTTTCAGCGCTGCGAGATATTCACCACTACATTTCTTAATTTCTGTTGATCAAGAAGACGTAAGTTATGTCAATTGTCATGGGTGTGACTAGGTTCTAATGTTCTGAGGCATGGGCTAAATTATTTCCAATTTTTACTTCAATATTTATACAGTATCAATCTTTTTGACAACAAGAAGGGTCTCAAGGTTATCTCTTGTCTGCAAAAGTTGCCAGATGAAAAAGTGGCAATCCCTGGCTTGATTTTTGAGCAGTGATTGCTCAGCAAAAAGCTTAATAGGCACTTCTAAGGTTACGCACTAACACTTGTTGGCAGAAAATCAAAGGCTATCTTTGGGCCGCCTTACTTGAAATTTCATTTCTTGATCAACAATTATTCTACAGAAACAACTTAGCCACAACTTTACATTTAAGTTTCATTTTTCTCTTCTCCTGATGAATGTCTACCTCACCTTTCACTCCAAAGCAAAAGTACCACTCATTGAGTGAAATTTTATGGTCTCTTTCCCTGTCACAGTAAGCCATGAAAGTGCGGCTGCACTTTTTAGGGTGAATGGTTTTTTTTGTAATCTTGAGGAAAGCATGGAGTTCCTTCATTTCCAACATGTAATCAGCATTGGTGTCAAGATGTGTGAACTTCCAGAGTAAAAGATGGACTTTACCCATACTGCTTGACTGACCTACAAAAGATTGTACAGTAAAATTGAAAATATGTCCACTTAGGGATCTCCCATAGTTTCTGCTGTGTGGTTTAAAATGGAATGTCATTTACACTAGAAAGCAATGGTCAAGTCTCTATGTGAGTGACCCACCCAGCTAGAACTTATCCCAGTTTCATTTGCATGAAGCAACAATGGTTTTCTTTACTTCCCCCTTGGATAGGATGCCAATCCAATGCAAGGTTACCATGTCCCCAGCATTAGGTAAGGCTTCCATGACAACTGGTATCCATTTATACTGAGCAGAGAGAGGAACCATGAAAGTTAAGGGGGTAAGTTACAAAAGAAACTGTGGTGATGTGTCAGTAGGAGAGTATAACAGGGTTATTAAGTATTATCAACTGAGTTGATAACATAAACTGGCTTCTGTAATGAGCTTCAAAGCTGACTTTTCAAGTGTTAGCCCTTTGACAAAGCGAACCATGAGAGTTACACATCTTACCCAAAAAAACAACACTTTGACCTGGCCAGTTTTCAAACCCAGACCTCTTGACTCTCAAGTCCAGCCCTTCAACCAATGGGGCATTTTGTTCTCCATATTTAGGCCATTTACAAAGATGATAATTAATTCTCCTCCTTGATCAGACAGTCAGGATGCAGTGAATATCAAGATTCACAGTTTTTTTTTTTTACCCTCCTTGGTAAAACAAGGTGCACAATAAATAAATTGAGGTTTATTCCTAAGAATAAACCTTAACAGTTACAGCCAAGGCCTAGGACCAACCCTCTGGTGCACAATTTTTGCAAGGGTTAAAAGGCAATGGTTTCTTAACCACTTTTGTAAATTTTTTATTGAAAGTGTCACAGTTATGTGGTATAAGCAAAAACTCTTAAACAAAGCAAAGATTCCTTTATTACCTTGAACTTGTCCTGAGCTGGATGCAGATTTTTTAACATATTCCATGAATTGCTTCGATAAGAATTTCACAAGCTTATCATTAAAATTAGTGCGTGCATCTCTTGGACAACCTGGAACAAGTCAAAATGAATCTTTTGTAAGTATATGTGGTTGTGATTTCAGTAGATTCAATGACTTCCTGAATTTATTTCCTAACAACACATTTTATTGAATCTTTAAGATTATCATCAGCAGCTATTTAATACCTCACCTTTACAATTAATGCAAGGTTTTACCGACTTCCAGCCTTTTCCTGATGGTTTCTCTGATGGCTGACCTAGAAAAATGGGACATAAAAAAGATCTTGGTCATGGTCTGAATTCACCCTTTCACTCCCAAGATCTCATCAGTAACTCTCCTCCCAAAAAACATCTTTCTCAAGGAGAATTTGTTTAACAATCAAGAACTTCTTTAGTTGGTGATCATTTCTGTTATTCTCATGACCTTAATGTTTGACTCAGGGGTAATATTGTAAGGAGAAATGATACTGGTCACTCTTTGGAGTGACTGGGTGAAGAGGAACTTACAGGGGTGTCAAATAGAGAAATGGTAGATGGATGGGTTGTCATGAATGCCATGTTTTTTTGTTAGACAACATGGAACTGTTCAGGCATGGTTCACCCACCTAAGAGGTTACGGTCGTTAGCCAAATTCTCCTTGTCAGTATCACAGGAAATCTATAGAGAACAGTTTAGAGAATATGAATCCTGATGTTAGGGTGTAAAGGGATAAGTGGTCCTGGTGTTTCTCTTAACTGTAGTTTAAAATTTTCAACGAAACCCTTACTGTGTGCTCTTATTGTGGGACAATGTGGTGTACGCTGGCGCACTTTGGTTCCTGACATTTCTTTACCCTCGCGGTCTACACACCAGCAATAACCTGACGAGTTTAAGCACTGCACTCGACTAAAGCTGCCATCAGCCTCGCATTTAGGGGCAAAGACACCAAGCATGATGAGATCTTTTGCTCTTGCATTTGATAGTGCTTCCTGTCTCTCACGCAGACACTTGGTTGTAGTGGTCACTACAAGGTTGTGGGAGCGTTGTGGCACTGATGGTCTTGTACCTGCAATGAAATTGCAATTTAAACTTCAATGCATGTTAACATGAGAGAGAATTTATTTCATTCAAACCATTAGTGAGTTGAAAGTTAGTTATGTTGTTCATGAAACACTTAACCCTCTATCTCCCAAGGTCTCATTGGTAATTCTCCTTACTGTCTGCCTACAGTTCTCATTATATCAGTTTGGAGAATTTGGTAACAGATCAATTAGTAATCTGATGATTTATACTTTTTTTCATTCTCATCACTAGTATATTGTATAGATAAAGTAAGGAGGAATTCTTTCTTAATTTGGTTAAGACCCAAATTCTGCAAAAAGATAAGGCAGTGTGTTTAAGACCAAATCATTCTCACCTTTACAGCTTCCCTTATATGCCATTCTGACTCTGTGCCCATTGCACTTTGCAAGCTGAAGAGTGCAACGACTGCTGTACGTCCTTCTGTCACTACCACATACTGGATTACTTCCAGAATCACCGGTAGGGCACTCGAATGTTCTGCTGCATACACCGCCCACTTCCTGTAGAAATAGATACATGAACTATTAATAAAAGGGGGTTAGATTTCACTGGAGCCAACAGAGAACAAGGGAAGTAACTTGAGATTCAACAGTTCTCTCATACAATTAACCTTTTATTCTCTAACATCAGTATACATACTCTCCGTAATACTCCTTAGACATTTCTTAAGGTTTTGACTAGGAGAATTTGTTCAACAATCAAGAACTCCTTCAGTTTGTGATCATTTCCTCTATTTTCATGACCTAAATGTTTGATTCAAGGGTGATATTGTAAGGAGAAATTAGATACTGGACACTCTTAGGGGTTACTGGGTTAAATTTACTCGATTCCTTAATAGAATTACTATGTATATATATATACATATATATATATATATATATATATCCTAAGAGTAACCAGGCTCAATTTAGACTTTGTTAAAAGAATGGCAACAACTCTGCCATTTAAATGCATTCATTATCTTGACAGGTTTCACAATTCTCTAATCTTCCTTGAGTAACCTTTGATACACTGATACACCTTTAGGCAATTCCATGACTACAAAAAAAAAAAAAATCCCCCCTACAATGCAATCATGATAGGAAACAAAGACCTATAATTGTGGACGATCTAATATCAGCAAATCCTTTAATTAATTATCAAATGACACTCTGGAATTAAGAGTCTTTGTTAGTTATTTTCAGACAGAAGTTGAAAGGTTATGCTGAAACCTAGGTTAACAGTCATCTCAAGCTGTGCAATTGCCTGGTGAGGCAACAACTGCTCTTAAGCTGTAAATGATGGCAGATGTATTTGGGTGAAACATTCTGCAAGGTAAAATTACCACCAGCAGACGGCTGACTTCATCTTCACAACTTCCCAAATACTTTCAGCGGAGTGTGCAGATGATGAAAAAACTTGAGATGCACTTTTTTTTAAGCAAAAAAAAGAAAAAAAAGAGAGTCAGAAAAGAAATCAGGTAAATCGATTAACTGCTCTTTCTTTTAAATTCAGCGCTGGTCAAAAGACCAAGATACTGGATCTCCTTTCTCTTGTCCCAATGTAAATGATATTCAGATCCTTTTGAATTTATATCCGGGTCAATGCTCAGTAGGAGATTTAACCAAATAAACACTATCCCTAACAAAAGAGTAAAACACTTGAAGTGCTGTTTGTCTTTTATTTCAACAATTGTCCAGTATTCTTTTGAGAAATAAGTTTCATGAACCACAGCTATTGGAGCTGTCCTAACTACTATGTTAAGCAGTTACTGGCTACAGTGTTGTTAATATGAAAAGTGAAATACAATTATTAAATACATGTTGTTACAAAGTGTTCATAGAACTGCGGTGAAAGGAGTTTTAAGTATTTTTAGCAAATTACTTGTGTTAAAAAAAAAAAAGTTTCAAAGAGCATGGCCGAAACATGCCCCAGTAATCATAGATTGTTATAGATTGTTATTAATAAAACTCATGTAGTCATATCCATTTTAACTAAAATGCCACAGCACAAGCAAGGCTTATCTAGCAATATACTTTTAATAGTAAACAGGAAAGCAGATCCCTTTCTACAGTTACTTGAGTATCTAGGTTGCCTGTAGGTCTTTTAACACTTCAAGCTTGTTTGATTCTTAACTGTATAGATTGAGTCAGTGAAGTCAGTTTTTATTTTTTAAACAGGAAAGAATATTTAATACTGATAATAATATTCTTTCATATCAGTGCCACCATGTAGTGGTTGAGAAGTTGATAAAATTTGTCACATCTATGACAAATAGCATATTGTGTAAATGCTGCTGTTTTTTTTTTTTTTTTTTAAAGGTTTGTCCCTCAAACACAAACCAGCTTTGCACGATTGTTAATCTGGAACAAAATATGTTAATGCTGGGTTCAGTAAGCCTATTGCAGATTGATTGACTACAGAAACATTCATATCAGGACAGACGAAGTTAATTAACATTCAACAGTAGGCAGCACGCTATATTTTGAAATTTTCACATCCAAGAGTTTCACTTGAATCTTTGTTTCACTATTTTCAACGTTTCAATCTTGTTAATAAACCACTTCAACAAATACAAAGGGCACATTCAGCCACAACAAGTTATTTTTATACATTCCGTTTTACACGGGGGCAACTGTGAGGTCTCTATCACATACATTTTTTCAAAATTTACAGGTCTTAAATTCTACAGCACTGAAAAGTTTCTGAGTATAGTCTTAAAAAATTCTTCTGATCGCAGTTGAAAATCATTTCTAATGATTTCATTGACCCTAGTAGGTTACACCACTTATATTTTAAAACACATAAATATACATGGCGACTGGTTTCTACACCCGAAATAACAAAATGTCTGCATAATCTATAAGCTCAGATTTCACGTGCCAGTTGTTTCAATCGACAAGAAACCTTCTTTCTTCAAGACTTTTCCGAAGCCATTTAGAAAAAGATTACAGTTCTTCCAATAAGAACTTCCCTTTCATCACTGCCTTCGACGAAATACATGTTTAGACGAGTTGTACATACTGCCGATCTCGTGCGTAAACACTTTCACATTTGTTCTTCCAGCTCAAAGCCTTCTTAGGCACGTGATAGTCGTCTGAGTTAGAACTAATTCAAACCGCCACTATGTCAAAAGAATATCTTTGTATCAAATAGCAGCTTCTAGGAGCAAATTCCAATCTTTGCTTCGCGGTTTTCACGACACAGATTCGAGATACATTATTCTGTTTATCACGCGACGTATCCGTAGAGGTCTTAGTTTGTATCCAAATGAACAAAAATTTGCATCACTTCTTTTGTCACGAAAAAACCTCGATACCTTGAGATATCTCACAAAATAAAGCTAAACGAATATAAAATGCCACCTTTTGGGGCTATTAAATCGAGTTCACTATTTCGTAAGCATGAATATTCTATCAAGAATACGCCGCCTATCATTGCGATGGAAATTATGAAATTCACTACGGCGGGAAAGGCAGACGAGTAGGTTGCGTCACTCCTAAGCAAACCTGAACATATGGATAGTGGAAAACCTCTTTGCGCTCACGAGGTAATAAATCTATACAGTGGTGAAATAAAAGGATACAATTTAAATTTGATGAAGTCAATTCATGGAATCTGTCCCTCGGAGTTATTCACGCAAAATAAAATACAGTATTACACAAGCTAGATCATTCGATTTAGTCTTTGTTGGAGCTATGTTGTTTTAGCCTCTCGATGGTTTTGAGTAGTCGCGCGTTCTCCTCTCGTAAAACTTCATTTTCAACTTTCAGCCGATAGTTTTCATCTTCGAGGTATTCGGCTCTAATTTGAGTCTCAAGTTCTCGCACGCGTCTTGCATCTCGTGAACGCTTCGCGGAAGCGTTATTTCGCTGCCGTTTCTCCCAATATCTTTGATCTTTTCCAATTGCCTCTGTAATCCCACTGCTACCATTCTTGAAATCGTTTCGTCTGCCGCGGGATTTGTTCGAAGGCAACCCAAGATTCGAATGTTCGCCTGATCCTCCTGTTTCTTCGCTGAACGAATCTGACCTCTCTTTGCGGGATAATTCTTCACTTGACGAATCAGACAGGCAGTCCGACTCTGCCCTACTCGACAGCTTTTGTACGTCTCTTTCACCATCATTCAACAACGACAGCCGAGGATTGGAGAATGACTGAAGAGACACAACCTTTAAGATATCATTGATTGAATTTTCGCCGAAATAAGGTATTCTTCGCCCATAAACTGCTTGATCGTCGGCCAATTTGCTGGACTTATTATTGCAAAATCCATTCGTTGTTTTCTTTAGCTTAGATCTTTCCGAACTTGAGGAGGTCGAATCATCGGAACTTTCGCTTCGTGACCGTTTCCGCAGTTTACGCGGCCCTCTCACCTCTTCCATGTCTATTTCGGCCTCTTGTGCGCTCTCTTGATGGTGAAATCGAGTATTCAAGAACAGAAAACTCAGTCAGACGAAAGAAATGTTCCTCGACTTTCGTTGAAAGTGCACAGAATGGAAAGTATTGAACTTAAACCTTTGACATACGATTATGTCATCTGAGAAGACGAGCCAACGGAGCATGCGTAGTTCCTAACTACAATAGCTTGATTGACGGACGGAAGAGACAACAGTCAAATGTTACATAACATTACTAGACAGGCCTATAGAAGCTCACGATATATCGAGTTAACACTTCGGCCGCTGCAAAATAACAGCGTAAATACACGTGTGCAACTGACATCTGTATCTCTCCATCTGGCCGATACAAATACCATGAATTGCGAAAATAAAATCGCTTTTCGTTAGTGGAAATTTACCTTTCTTTTTCGCCTCTTCATCCTGTTCCATCGACCATGAAAATCACGCTCTTAATTTTTATTTTGGAATTCTTTAGCATGTATGTTATATTTGAATGTTGAATAGATCTCGAGGAATAGATTGGCTCGCAAGAAAACATCGCGGTGAAATACTTTAAAAGCGTAAGTGAAAAACAAACGTTAATAAATCAAGTGTATATCTCTTTTTGGTACATTTTCCGTCATGGAAGTGTCACAGTTTGCGTTTGGATAATATCGGCTCTCATATTTCAAGTGGAGAGGAGCAAAACATCTCGCTAATTCAGTTCCCCGCCCGCCGAGTTCATCTAAACTCTTTATCAAAGCGTTAAACCCCCCGATCAGAAATTTTCAGTTGGATCAATCAGGGCCCTTCATTTGAACTATAAAGGATTTATCCGCAACTAAGCAATGTTGCAACAGCTGATTTTAGCGAGCACGTATCCGAATAAGAATTATGAATTTGTAATGAGACCTGACCATGCACGTTTGTAAAATTACACGCGTGACTGAGTTCAGCGAGCAAAACGCAACTTGATCATGATTGTTGAGCATTCCAAGGGAACATGATCTTAGAACACACAAAACGATCTCCTTCTGTTATAACAATCACTTCTGTACTTATACTTGAATAGAATTTTAAGTGTATAAGTCATAACCTTACGCTGCAGTCAAAGTGCAGAGAGAGTTCCTTGGCTCAGATATCTTCAGTTCTTTTCCTCCTCTTCTCGTTTTCGGATTTCCTTCTCGATTTTCGTTTTTCTTTTTCTTGGAGATGAACCTTTTGTAGATTTTGTCGACTCTGTAAAAGCGGCCCATTCGACTTTCCCTCTCCTCCCCTCCCCCGCCCCCTTCCACGGTAAACGATAACAAATCATGAACTTTTCATTCTTTCCATGCCTGTTATTCACTTACTTCAGTTCCTTTGACAGCCATACCTACCTTAAGAAATGTCCAAATCTAAAATCCAAACTGGGTGGAAATCCAAGTCTTTTGGGGAAAGAAAATGTATTTTTCTGATTGAAGGAATAATTGGGGGCGTTCCTATGGCTGAAATCATTTACGTGTATGCGTTAGACGCGCGAGGAATACAACCATGCAACAGAAACGCGCGCGGATTGCTTCAGGTTGCTTCCGGAGGAGAATTACGTCCATATAAAGCGCTCTGAAAAAATTTGGACATTGCATATTCACTGAAGAATTATCGCTCAATGTTCTGGCCCGGTTTAAACATCTATAACGACTGGAGTGAAGAAGAGCGCAAACTCTTGCTTATAAAGAGTAACCAATTTATTCAATTTTTTTAACGGTTGGGTGGAAACGAGGTGTGCGTCTCCAGGCGACACTGTGGTTGGTTCAGTGATTTACGTACTCTTGTTTACGGCTTTGCCGCAGAATGTTCTTCTAACCGCGAATTTTCCCATTGCATGAAAATTTATCATTCAAGTGCGCTGTTGCTATTTTCGTTCACAAGTGCCTGTTTGTTCAGGTTCAATGCACAAGTCTGTTTTTGTTTTCTTTATTTTATTAACGGGAAACCTTTCGGTTCAGCCTATCGTGAAGGCAATTTATCAAAGTCGTTTGTAGCAGCGTATGCATGGGTCATTGCTGATAGACTGCGTGACGTAGAGAGCACATGCGACGGTCGGTATGTTTTGTTAAGGGCCCCACCTTTACAATGAACCACAGACTTACCATTCGATTTTCGTATGCCACAGGCCTTTGAGATCTTCAATATTTTATGAGATTTATTTCCATTGGTTTACTTCAATAAAAGTTCTACCTTATCAGTTTTTCTCCAGGCCATATTCGTGGTCGAAAATTGCGTGAGCCTAGTAAGCCTTTTTGTAAACATTTTTCGGCGATTTGAAACACTTCAGTTCTTTCGCCACGAAAGCGATTAAAGTTTAAAGTTCGCAAGCCATTTACGTAATGATGAAGGTCCTAGTCAGCTGACCATCATGCCTCATAATCGCAGTGAGTGTAAAAGCTCTGTCAGAAATGACTTCAAGCCAAGCGAAGCTGGCAGTGGAACTTTACGACTCGCCCATTTGCCAGATCGCTTTCGACGATTTCATGAAACGGCAGTCTCAGTTCGTTGGTCAATTTCACGGCAGAGTTCAACACTGGCTCTGTCAATTGTATGTATACTGTTACATTACATATCTCGAGTATTGAATGCCAACCTTCGTCGATAAGACGTAAGTGCTGATGTTGATAGGACATATGTACCCTTGTTTTCAAAATCGTAACACTAGGTGCAGATTTAAGTTCCATTGATCAATCCTGTTAAGCTAATTTAAAAAGGGACAACTTAAATTTAATTAAATCTGTGTAGGAAGAGCTCACATGAAGCGTATGTTTTGTTTGCAATATTCGTTAATATTTATTATAACCCTCTTCACTGCGAGCGCAGTTTTCATCGACTCTTTTATAGAACCTCTAACGTTTCACGGAGCACAGTTGAGAGGAGCACTGAGGGAACTTTAGCGTAGAGGAGTACCATCGACGTGTTTAAACTTTCTCCATACTTGAGACAAACTCCTTTCAAACGCATGCGCTGTACATGATAAATTATCGCTCTAAAATGTGGCCAGTGGCCTATCGCGCACATAAAGCCAACACTTTCATCCCCATGATCATGACATAAATTCTCCTTGCTTTCCGCCATACATTTTCGTATGATTTTAGCTTTGAGAATTTGCTGTCAATCATTGATATCCCATGGTTGATTTTTTTTCCCTTTCATCATCTCTCTTTTAAATGCAACGATATTGAACAGAGAAATTCCATTTTGATCGCTCCTTAATTCTGACAATGAAAGAGCGATCGTATTAAGTTTTAAAGTAAGAAACTGTCGGTAGAGACACCCTGTTTACGACGTTCAACAATGAATTTTATCTACCAGGCTTAAGGAATCAAAACTCCAGGTCTACACCCTGTTGGGCGAAACATGCCCCCCTCCCGCCAGGGGGGAGAGTAAGGGGTATCATCGATTCTTCACCCCCCTCTCCACCCGAATAATTGCATCTGCGCAATAGAACGTGCAAATATCTCTAAAATGTAAATCCCCTACTTTACTTTGAGTAGCAGCTGACAGGCATAAAACAGGAATGGTCAATACCGAGGGTAGAAAGAGGGGTTCTTGGTGTCAAGGCCAAGCCCTACAGAAGATAAACCGCAGATTCTTGCAAGAAAGTGTAAAAGCGAGGATACATCAACTCTTTGTATTTCTTTCCATCTTTTTTTCCTCCAGTGATATACATTTAAAAATTTCAGCATGTTCATTTACTGCCGGAGAGCATTTCAGTTCCTCCCAAGCAGCAATTATTAAACCAATATTAAGTTGATTTTCTTGCTTTCCTCTGCTCGCGCAAAAAGTTACAACAGACCGCCTTTCCCACGCACTTAACTGAAATTTTTTTCAGCTGTTACGTGTCGTTACACAATTTCGTCGACAGATAGTTACAAAGTATCAGATGGCTGTTAAACAGCCTATGAATAGTCCTTTAATGTCATACTGTTTTTGAGCGCACTGAACAGAATTACGTTTCCCTAGAATCTTCGTTAGACCAAGTCAACGTACTTCACACTGGATTATCACAAAGCACTTGAAGTAAAACCATAACTTGCTGATAAGAATCAAGTACAAGAGGTTTCTACTGATTCCAGGTGGAATTGGAATTTCAATAATTGGTGATTACTAACTCTTTAACCGCTACGACTGATACAAATCTAGCTTCTCCCAACAGTAGCAGCCCCTGAATCAAACATTAAGGTTACGAGAATAAAAGAATCGATCGCAAACTCAAGAAGCTTTTGATTGTTAGACAAATTCTCCTCGCAAGTACCATAAAAAATGTATACAGAACAGTATGGAGAACTTACACACTGATATTAGGATGTAAAGGGTTTAAATGAACTGAAGAAAAGAGGAAATATGCAGTAATTATATTGTATGAAATGTTTACTAAGGATTGTGTTTATGGCGAAAGTGGTTTACCCTCTCAAGTAGATTCAAAAGAATTCTTTTTAATAATTTTACGTGATTCAATCTTTGTTTTCTTAAACAGAGAAAGACAACTCCCATTTTGCCTTTATCACAAGTCAGAACTTTAGATTTTACTCAACAGAAAGAAGGAAAATGGGCAGGGGTCTGTCTGGCTCTACTGTTATTTAATAATTTTTTTGACTACTGCTAGAGAATCGCTGTTATTAAATACTGTTATTTAATAATTTTTTTGACTACTGCTAGAGAATCGCTGAAATGTGAAAACCAGAACAATCTGGTTTTCCTCGATAATACTGTAAGATTACTCGGTAGCCAGAGATAATTGTATTTGAAATATACCGCAGTTTCAAAAAATACTCGCTAAACGTGCGTTGTGTAAGATATCTCATTAAGTACGACCTAACGTTTTTCCTGCCTGACCTGCATGAAATTCATTCCGAAATTGCCTAAATCACAAAGACTTGAGCTGATCGAACCATTTAACGGTTTTCCCATGGAAAATCCTACTCAATCGCTGCTCACAAATGCTGCAATATGCATAAAAAGATATGCCGAAGATCGGAAAAAGGTTTGATCGTTTTGAAGTTGTGGCGGCTTTTGATTAGTGCCCTAGCTATTGAAAGATTAAACACTCGAGATCGCTAAAAGATAGAAATGAATCTGGGGTCTTTTCGTGTTTTTTACAGCA